TCATGTAATCCACCATGCTGGTCCCCTAAACCCAGCCCCGTGTCCCCACTTGTGCCCTTGTCGCAGCCCCGTGTCCCCGCTTGTCCCCTAAACCCACCCCATGTCGCAGCCCTCTGTCCCCAAGTCTTACCCCAAAAGGTCTCATTCCACCATGCTGGTCCCCTATAAACCCACCCCATGTCACAGCCCCGTGTCCCGACGTCTCATACGTCCCTGCCGTCCCTGTCTCACGTCCCTGACGCCCCCGACGTCCTCACGTCCCCGATGTCTCACGCGTCCCCGTCTCACGTGCCTGACGTCCCTGCCGTCCATGCCTCATGTCTCTGACGTTCCTCACGTCCCTCACGTCCCTGACATCGCCCACGTCCTCCACGTCCCTCACGTCCCTCACGTCCATCACGTCCCTCACGTCCCTCACGTCCCTGGTCTGACGTCCCTGACGTCCCTGACGTCCTCGACATCCTTCATCTCTCCACATCTGCGTCCCTGAAGTCCCGCCGTCTGACTTTCATGTCCCTGACATCCCCAATGTGAGTTTGTCAGCTGTCGACCTGTGACACATAAGCAATTGAATTTGTAAGCTGTCGAACCTGCACAAGGAAGTTTAATCCCACTTATGTTACTGCAGAGCCGTAAGTTTGTAAGCTGTCGAACTGTGACACATAAATAAGTCTTTTCATACTCTCAGCTACTTGGGGGGGGGTGGGTTACTTCTGTGTAGACCCTAAATGTGGGGTCTAAAGGGTTGTTTGACCAGGGGGAATGTAAAAATAATTTCGTTCATCTAGACCTTTGGGCTGGTCCAGTATTTAAGGTCTACTATGGTTTTCCCACTGCCTCTACATATGCTCCAAAAAGTCCAACTTTTCATCTGCGCCAAATGCATGACATGTCTGCATATTTTTGCATGCGCCGCTGGTGAGCATTTTGCAATCCCAAGTGAAAAGACACCGCAGTCTGATCCCCATTCTATGTCATCCTACCGGGTCAGGGACACAACAAAAAACAGGTGGCTCAAAACTGTTCCAAATTGCTTTCAAAAAATGGAGGTAGCTCAAAACTGTTCCACATGGTTTTCAAAAAAATGGCTTTCAAGTAGATCAGTCCGACCCTGAATTATCAGACTCCTCAGCCTGATCATCTTCCTGACAGTCCCTGGTATGATTCAAGTCCAGACCCTTCGATTTATTTTTTCCATAGTTCCTGTTAAGGAGTTAGGTGCTGTAAAGGGTCTGAAAAGGTTTGTGTGTTTTTACAAGGACACAGAGGTCAAGATACGCTGGGTGAAAAACATTTTAGACCCTATGCTTCGTTGTCTGCTTGGCTTTGATGTGGTTGAAGGTTGCGAAATCATTTGCAGAAAGCATTGGTTACTCAAGGTGATGCTTAAAAGATCTTAAAAGTATCAACATGAGACATTCCATGTTGTTCACATTTGTTGACAGTGTTCACCTAAATTAGTGATTTTTTTGAAGTCGATTTTTTTGAAGTCATTTTGCTAACCGGGGTCTCCTTTGGTTTACTTTGGGATGTGGTGTTCAGATGCCTGTGGGGCCCTGATTGGATTTGAAGTTAGACCTTGGATGCACACAGAATATGTTGTTGACTATCAGTTTGGTGTGCCCAGCCATGTGTGTGGTGAGGTAATGTCCAGATGTATTTACCAACCTGTGGGGTCTTGAATGCTTTGCCTTGGCGCTCTTTTATGTGATAAAGCTGTGCCCCTGGTATGATTCAAGTCCAGACCCTTCGATTTATTTTTTCCATAGTTCCTGTTAAGGAGTTAGGTGCTGTAAAGGGTCTGAAAAGGTTTGTGTGTTTTTACAAGGACACAGAGGTCAAGATACGCTGGGTGAAAAACATTTTAGACCCTATGCTTCGTTGTCTGCTTGGCTTTGATGTGGTTGAAGGTTGCGAAATCATTTGCAGAAAGCATTGGTTACTCAAGGTGATGCTTAAAAGATCTTAAAAGTATCAACATGAGACATTCCATGTTGTTCACATTTGTTGACAGTGTTCACCTAAATTAGTGTTCTTTTTTGAAGTCGATTTTTTTGGAAGTCATTTTGCCAACCGGGGTCTCCTTTGGTTTACTTTGGGATGTGGTGTTCAGATGCCTGTGGGGCCCTGATTGGATTTGAAGTTAGACCTTGGATGCACGCAGAACATGTTGTTGACTATCATTTGGTGTGCCCAGCCATGTGTGTGGTGAGGTAATGTCCAGATGTATTTACCAACCTGTGGGGTCTTGAATGCTTTGCCTTGGCGCTCTTTTATGTGATAAAGCTGTGCCCCTGGTATGATTCAAGTCCAGACCCCTCAAGCAGTCGATCTAATTTTTGTTGGCCCTGATTTCCTTGAATTTGGCAGGAGTCACAACGTGCCATGGTGTGGTTGAAGAAAGAGATGCCCCCGAAGGAGGAGAAGCGCGGGACCAAACGATTTTGAAAACTAAAGGATGCCATGGATGCCATGGATGATGATAGTTTTGAAAAGACCTGTTCGAAAACTAAACATATTCCGTATCATATTTCAGAACCATCCAAAAACTCTCTTTCAGAATCCCTTTATTTTTGCTTCCAATCTGTGTTGCTAGGGATTTGGGGTGAACCAAAAAAAATATGGCTTCCTGACAGTAGGGCCCCAGAATGCTATGATTTTATATTTCATTTTTTGCTAGCTTCAAAACCTCCGAATTCCAAGGGTCTAGAATGCTACCACTGGGAAGGGTCTACAATGCTCTAATTATCAGTCTAGACCTCTAGACCCTAGCCCCTCCAGGGGGGGGCCTTCTAGACCTTAAGTAGTTGAGGGTATGTCTTTTCCCAATCACTACTGACAAGCCGGGACTTTGCAAGCTGCCGAACTTTGACGCAGAGGTTGAATCCCACTGGTGTTAGACTGCGCTTGCCGTGGTTGTGAGCTGTTGCACATTCAAGCTGTGTAATCTTGACGATCATAGTTTGGCAGATTTTGACTCTATTCCAGAAACATGTGTCTACAAGGCAGAAGTAAGACATGAAGACGTCGAACGTTTTTGAGTGCCAAGTCTGCAGGATGTCAGTTCTGAGATAAGATGTTGTGTGCATGCACTGCCTCACGTGATCTAACCATGTACCACAGAGAACGCTTGAAGACGTCTCCGCCCCAATTCCTGACGTCCTCCATGTCCCTTGCCCTCACGTCCCTCACGTCCCTCACGTTCTCCACGTCCCTCACCCTCACGTCCCTCACGTCCCTCACGTCCTCCACGTCCCTCACGTCCTCCACGTCCCTCACCCTCACGTCTCCGACGTCTCCGACGTCCGCAGCCACAGGAGAGTTAATAATCATTTTTTGGGGTGATTTTCCATGAAATAAACCATCCATAAATTGGGGTACCCCCATGACTTAACCCCGGCCCATCGCTGCACGATCGTCGAAACTTGGCTCCCCACCCCGCAGGCCACCGCAGGCAGCGCGCCGCAGCCAAATCGACGCGGACCCGGCGCAGCCACAGCGACGAAGAGCTGTCGAGCCGGACGAGTGGGTCTGAGCAAACGTGGGACGTTGATGGCCAGACCCCTAGGAATGCCCTCAAGTCATCTCAACATATCTCGCTGAAGAAAGGGGGACTGCAAATATCCAATTTCACTGGATTTTTGACGAGAGATGGATCCTTTTTAAGGGCCACCTTAAGTCATTCCGACCCAATTTTGGAGCCAAATCTTCCAATCCTGAAGTGATGGAACGCAAGTCTTGTTCAGGTATTCAAAAGAAATCACAACATCTTTTGCGTCTTTGAACTACTTGTACTGTACAACTGTATTTTCCTTGGATACACAGTGGATCAAGCAGCAAAAATCCCACATCCAACTGTCCTCTGCAGCGCTTTGGGAGAGTGCAACGCGATGGCCATCGTGATTCAACTCTGGAAATGCGGTTCCTACTTGGGACATCTCATCTGGTTGCTGGTAGCCCCAGCTGGTGTCAGTAGCGTCACTCATGAATCATGGCAAACACATGGCAAACACATAGTGAACACAAAAATAATCTAGACATAATCCTAGAACTAATCCCAAATGTAGGTTGAAAATGGTTGAGCTCTCACCTCAAAGCTGTGCTGTTTGTTGCAGAGCTGCAGCCAAGCTCTGGAGCCATTTTAATGGCTCTGAATCTGATTCATCTCTGCTAGGGACGTGCAAATCCACTCTGTTGTTGACTCCTCGCACTGGACCACACTGGACCAAATAATCATGAAATAATCCAAAGACTGGAGACTCTCTGTTCCAGTTTCACAACGTTTCACACTTTGAATCTTGAATCTTTGATCTTTGGAACATCATGGAACATCTGGGTCTCAAAATCATTGCCCCACAGGGATAAAAGGGCCAGTCTCGACCAGCCGCTGACGATCGTAGATCTCCTGTTGAGTGTCAGTGGCCTGGAGCGGCAAGAGTAATTCCGACGCACCTCGGCCTGCGAAGGCGTTGTGGACAAAGTCGTGGTGCTAAACCATGGTGATTCCTGGTGATTGTAGTAATGGTTACAATGGCTTGTAAGGGTTGATGGTTTGTAATGCTTAACAATGGCTGATGATGATCAATGGTATAAACGCCATCCAATTAGGGGGTGCTCTTTTTTTGACCCATAGCCATGTCGGACTGGGATCAATGCGTCTCCAACGCCAGATCGGGAGAGGCAATGGCGCATCTCAGCACTCCGCACAATAGCCTTTTGTGTGTGTCGGCATGACGCTTGGCTTTCTGAGATTGCGAACCAGAAATGGCACCAACTGCATGTGCTGACTACATGCCAGTGGCACGTCTAGCTGAAATGAAATGCAAAAAAAAAAGCATTTCAAAGGGCTCAGCCAAAAAAGGAGCTCCTGAAAACGATGATTTTTGGAGCTGCCCTGAAATCTTTACCCTTCACTGGTCTTTTAAAGACGCCAATTTCAGGACAGCCGACAGTGAAACCTCGGGTGAGACGCCCCTTTCGCTGACGGACCGCTGGTTGGCTCACGATAGGACCGCCTGGAAGCCGCTGCGTTGCATCTCTGCAATCTGCTCCTTCCTTGGTTTTTAGTGATGACCATTCTGAACCAAAATGGGAGGTGACCATGGGGTGCCCCCCTTTTTGGTTCACACTATGCCAGTCGCTATGCTGTTGGTCCAAAATATGAAATCCTCCGTAATGTTGGTCCAACGGAAAAAAAATTGCTCCAACAATGGTGAGTCGCTGAACCGCTAAAAATATCACTACATAAAAGGAATGGAAGCTACTGTTGAGACAGAGAGCTGGGGGAAACTTCCCGAAGTCTTCAATTGAGATATAAATACATCCCCTGAATAACTTTGTTTCCAAACGCCCAAACGCAGCAACTTGCGCTACAAACCATCCCATCTTTCAGCAGCCGACTTTTGCTCCATCTGCATCTCCAGGTCTTGATTGTCATCCTGGCAAAGAACATGGGGACACAACAGTCAACAGATCAAGCAGATCTGTCTATGAAAATTGTTCTCCATGGACCCCATCCTGTTGGAGATTCAGGCGCTCCGATAAGTTGATGTAGCCGGCCATGCGGATCTCCAAGTCCTGTGATAACACCATGGCTGAAAATCTGAAAACACCATGTGATCCCAGGTAGAGGGAGAATTGAGAACTGAATTGCTGAGAGAAATACATGATGTGTATATATATATATAATAATAATAATAATAATAATAATAATAATATATATATATACACATATTATTATGTTATTATTGTTATTATTGTTATTATTGTTATTATTGTTATTATTGTTATTATTATTAATTATTATTGTTATCATTATTATTATTATTATTATTATTATTTGTTTATTATTATTTATTTATTTATTATATATAATTATTATTATTATTATTATCCACGTTTCATGTTTTTGGGGGGTACACTACATCAGTCGTGCGCCAATTCCAATATCATATAATATCCAATCGTCCAAAATCATCGTTTTTTTTTTTTTTTCGCAGGTGTTACCCAACATTTGAGCAAACTAACATTCATTGATTGGATGATTGGATCATTCAGTACCAAACAGAATCTCGGACACTGCCAAAATCCTCCATCGCCACATGGGTGTGTGTGTGTGTGTCCAAACGCGCCCTTCTGTTCACACCACACCACGCTGGGGACTTATGGATGTTCATTGCCCAAGATGGTACACCCTCTGGTGTCCACATGCTGATTTCCCAGCTAGCCATCTGGATATTTGGGGCATGTTATGCGGATATTATGCGGATATATAACCAAGGCAATATGAAAAAATAATCAACAACAAAATAATAATTCTTATATGTATATATATATATATACAAGAAAGTAAACTTTATCATTGTCCCAACATGCTCGCTCCATTGGTTTTGATCCCCACATCGGAGGTTTCCCTCACCTCATCCACTTGAGCTTTCTCCGTCCATAGCTGCTCCATGGCTTCTCTCAGGGAGTCGCGCTCCTCCTGTGCGACAGGGCTCCGCGGTGCATGGAGTCTTGAGGTTTTCCAAAACAACTACAGTGACTACAGTGACTACAGTGCAGCAAAAATATCAGTCTCAGGATGTTTTTTTTTACCCTCTGGTAATTTAACATAGCTATTGAACATGGCCATTTATAGTGGATTTACCCATTGAAAATGGTGTTTTTCCATCGTTATGTTAGTTTACCAGAGGGTAAGGCCCCACTTTTTGAGGCACCAGGGATCATCCCCATCTCTGAGATTCGGTGTGAAGCTTAGCAGCTTCACCGAGGATCCCAGCCTGCACGATCTGCATTTGGAGCTGTGAATCTTCCGCCTTCGCCATCCACTCGCTGTTCTCCTGTGGCAACAGGGGCCCAGAAGGATACTCCTCAAATATAGAATAGACATACCTACAGTATGTGATATATATATATATATACATATATTTACTTATATACGTAATTAGGATAGACTGATAGACATGCTTATCTAGAACATCTTCTGAAAGTACTTAAATGCTCTCCAACTAGTGCGCATGCATTTATATATACAATGCCACTTCTTGGAGAAAGTGTCGCGCTCTGCACTCTCTCTACACGTGACCGTGAGAAAGCTGACAGGATTGCAATGCGCATACGACGTGGCTAGTATTGGCTTTTGTGTGTAATTATGTAAGGAAACAAATCACAAAGCCACAAACCAACCATGTTTAACCATGATATACCATCATAATCTTCACAAAATGTTGGCTTCGCAAGAATTGGCGAATGAGACTCCTGCATGAGGCGTCGATTGGCATTCCGATGCTCTTCGACCTTCCAAGAGTCATTCTGGCAATGGCTTGACAAGTGACCATTGAGTCGGTTCAGCCTGCCCTGTGAACATTAGCATAGCTGGCTCTTGTGTTCAAGATTTGAATATGGAGGTTTCCTGAAATAGGGCTACCCCTAAATCATCCATTGAAAAATGGTATGTTCCATTATAAACCATCCAGCTATGGGTGTACCCCCATGACTTTGGAAACCCCAATACCTTTTTGGTTGTTGACCCATCTCCAAGTGGCGCATTGTAGAAATTGCTAGACAACTCGTCCTGGTTCTGCCCTACTCTTCCCATCCACCCCATCCTACAGTAAATGGGGCACCCAGCAGCCTGGGATCAATGATCATGTGTAATGATCCTTGCTAGTGCAGAAAACCATGATATGATGGTCATGTTTTGGATAAACGGGTTCGGGTGATTATGGCCACTGGGTTGATTCATGTTGTTTCAGTAGAAAATCGAAAGGAAACCAATGTCACTATCAAACATGGGGTTTCTGTACAGCGGAAGTATCCCTTCAGTCTTGGTGATTCTAATTTGTCTAATGGGCATTTTTTCAAGCACCAATGGTACAGTGGCTGCTTAACCCATTCTACTGACAATTTTAGGAAACCAGCAGCTAAGCACCCAAATGGTGGTTACTTAAGGGGGTCTTTAGTTCATGAATTACAATAGTCCCCAATGATTGTCAATAAGGTTGAGCTCGTTATCCCTTATGCTCATCAAGCAACCATCACTTGTCAACTATGTCATAAGTACATACCCTTAGTTGTGATGGTTTAAACCCACATAAATATATAGTGAATAATTCCTATCTAAAACCCATCCAACTTGCTGTTTTTTTTTCCAAACTGCTAGGCATCATTTTATTAAATGTTTGATGGCAAAGAAAGCACAATTTGAAGATTAAATCGCTATAGGCTATAAATCTCCATGAAAAAAATGCGGTGATGGGTCAAAGTCAAAACACCTTGTACCCAAAATAACACCCAAAATTTCGCCCTTTTGATGGATCTTGGGGATCTTCATCCCTTACCAATCGCCCCAGTCGCCTCCGAGGACATCATGGCCAGCTGCTGCTCCAAATCCTCGTTACGGCCCCGTAGCTCCTGGCCTCGTGCCTGGAGAATTTGCAGCTGCTCCTGACGATGTTGGGGTCCATGGGAAACCTGGATATGGGATGGTTGCAACATCTAAATATGAACTGTATAATTACTCTATATATATATATACTGTTTAAAAAAACAGTTAATATTTGAATATCTATAATTGACCGTGTAATTCTGTTTTGGCCTAAAAAAACATCTTAACCACTCTGGCCATTGATGACCAACTGGCTTCCTCGGGTGCTTGGCCGATCAACTCTTCATCTGCTTCGCGCTTCTGACGTGCCCTCTGCACTTCTGCTTCCACCAGCCGTGCATGGGAGGTCGATTCCTTAGCGCTACGACGTGACGTGACATGAAAACGTGTGTGAACAACAAGGAGTGAGAAAAAGTGGACAGATTGACAGATTGGAGGAAACAAATGAAAAAACATGGTTCTTACATATTTTACAAACCATATTAATATATATATATACACATACATGGAACCATTCTGGAACCATTCTGGAACCATGTATACATATATAACCATAAATACGGTATGATACAGTATATATATATATACTGGTTTTCTGATGTTTTCTGTCAATCCATTCTCTGAAACCAAGTCTGGGAGGCATGTGAACCATCAGAAATAGGATCTCAATGGACCCAAAAAGCTTGCCTTATTTAGTATGAGACCACTTGGAGACCATTTGGGGACCATTTGGCTTCACAGTAAATCAACAACCTGAGATGAGGTCAGTTGGGGATGATTCCCTCAAGCATCATGCACGTCGTGACTTCGGCCAGTATAAGCAGTCAGGTCGTTTTGCAGCCAGAACCATCCAACTTTGGAAGTTTGAGCCATACCCAGTATACTCTATAGCCATGAAAAGTGAGGACTTGTTCAAACCACATGCCAGTTTAGCCTGACGGGGATATAGCCCTGCCTTTATGCTCTCAGGTTTGATGAGGACAAATGCGTTCTGCTCAGTTCGGACTTCACCATCTACTCAAGCGATACTGCAAACATTGATGTGAGATGATGTGAGTCAAAATCTAAGTCACACCGACCCGCAAATCGATAGCGACTTTCAGTCTTAAGCATCATTAAGCACCCGAATCTCTGGGTACCCAATTTGATCCACAGCCACATGGATAGTCAAAGCCACATTCAGAGCCTTCGTCACCTCTTTGCGCCTATCCTGTAACTGGTTCACTTCCTGGGGACAATTGCTGGTCCATCTGGGAGCAATGGAGACACCAGATCAATTCTGCATGTTGGTTGATACCCTCTGGTGAACTAACATAGCTATTGAAAATGGCCATAGAAATAGTGGATTTACCCATGAAAAATAGTGATTTTCTATAGCTATGTTAGTTCCCAACGCCGCCCCCAGGCAACTGGTCACGAAACCCCTTTTTTTGCTTTTTTAGGGTTTGGGGTGGGGGGAGGGGTGTTAACGTCCCTGTGAACTTGCTCACGTCATGTATGCTTCGTGAACTTCGGGGTTTGGGTGGGGTGGGGGGGATGTTAACGTCCCTGTGAACTTGCTCACGTCATGTATGGTTCGTGAACTTCGGGGTTTGGGTGGGGTGGCGGGGGATGTTAACAACCTGTGAACTTGCTCACGTCATGTATGCTTCGTGAACTTCGGGGTTTGGGTGGAGTGGGGGGGATGTGAAGGTCCCTGTGAACTTGCTCACGTCATGTATGCTTCGTGAATTCGGGGTTTTGGGTGGGGGTGGGGTGGGGATGTTAACGTCCCCGTGTATGCTTCGTGAATTCGGGGTTTTGGGGGGGTGGGGTGGGGGGATGTTAATGTCCCTGTGAACTTGCTCACGTCATGTATGCTTCGTTAACTTCGGGATTGCCTGGGTTATATATATATACACACAATATTGCACAATGAAAATCACATTTAGATACATATATATATATTAATATATAAACATGTGCATACATATACATTTATCTTCACTATTGTATACATACAAATGTACATGTCTTCTTGTTTATATTTATGCACATAAATATGCTTCTCACTTACGTACACGCACGCGCACACATATATATATATACATATATATATCATATATATATATATCATATGAATATTTATAATATATATGTATACATACTTATGTTTAGACAACTTAAATCAACTTGTCGGGGAATGTTCCATTGCACTTTCTCAAACAATTGGCCAAAGCTTGCAACGCTCGCTGATAATGGCGCAAGAACAAAAGAGCACAAGGCGCAAAGAACAAAAGGCTCCAAAAAACACCAGTTGCCCAAGGGCGGCGTGACCTAGAACTGGAGACAACTGCTGGTCCATCTGGGAGCAATGGAGACACCAGATCAATTCTGCATGTTGGTTGATACCCTCTGGTGAACTAACATAGCTATTGAAAATGGCCATTTATAGTGGATTTACCCATGAAAAATAGTGATTTTCCATAGCTATGTTAGTTTACCAGAGGGTACATATTGATACCCGTTCCTCCAATGGCTGACCGCAGGGTCATCTGTCCTCTTGGTCGTGTTCCAATTCCACCTTCAACGCATCAAGCTGCCCCGCAAGTAGTTTCATCACGTTGGCCTGCAATGATCCCACCATGTTGCGAGGGAAAAAACTGTGTCACAGTGGAGTGACTCCTGAATGATTCTGAATGCGAGAACTGAATGACCCCTGAGAAGGGGGTAAATCTATGGATTTTCTCAAACAAGCATATCCAGGGCCAGATTTCCAGGCTATCAATGGCATGGCTCGGCATCACCGCTTCTGTGAAATCCAATCTATTGCGTTTTCTTGAGAAACGAATCCATCGCTTTTTGCTGGAGAAGGCTTGCTTTTTCACAAAAAAAAAGTGTACATGGGGTATATCATGGTATATTAGTATATCCCACTAATCTCACCGGCTTATAATTATATGGTTATTGCCCACTGGTAATTTAACGTCGCTGGTGGGAAAATCACCATCTTTGATAGATATATATATAAATCATCATAAGTCCATCAATTTCATTTTTTTTCGTGGCTTCCATTGCTATGTTGAACAGCGAGATTGTAATTAATCCATATAATCCATATTAATCACATTGTCAATTATCAATTATCAATCACTAATAGACATGATATCCTCATTATATCTCCTATCGTGTTGTTCAATTCCCCCAATCATCATGTGTTTTTTTTAATATTATATGGAGGTTTCTGAAGTCATGGGGGGTACCCCTAAACCATCATCCATTTTTGGGTGGATTTTCCATGAAATAAACCATCCATAAATTGGGGTATCCCCATGACTTAGGAAACCTCCATATCCACTGACTGGGATGCACCCCTCCTCTGAGAACTTGCTGGGATCTGACAACTCCTCCAGCTGTCTTTCCAGTTCCTGAAGCTCCTGAAACATTGCGAAAAACCACTGTTGCGACACGAAAACCTGAGCGTTTCTAGGGAAAGAATCATTCATGTTGTGAAAAACTATCAAATTTAGACTCAAAAGATCTGAAAATCATCATAGAGTCATTGTTTTTCACTCACGAAGATCATCATTTGCAAGACATCTCAAGTCACTATCATCACTATCATCACTATCATCACTTTCAAGAAATCGTCCCACAGATTCTGCAGAAACCCGTCCCTCCATGGCTCCATGGTGGAGCTCCTGATCAGCCGTCGATGCAGCTTGCACGGCTTGCACCTCCTTCTGCTCGCACTGTGCAGAGATGGATCGAAGAGTGGCCTGTCGGTTTTTCAGTTCCATTGGTTCAACCTGGTGCCCCTGGGGTTTCACCAATGGCTGGGAAATCCCTGAACGGAAAAATTGAGGTTTTAAGATGTTGGAAAATGGAAAAAACATGAATCAATAAATTGTGGATTTTCAATAAAGTCAGGTTTGATTACCAGAGGGTAGGTCATTGGGGATTTTTTTATGCCTTGGTCTAACCATCCAAAGCCTCACACATCCAATTTAAAGCTATAGGCAGCAACCCATTTTTGAGGTTCAAACCGTCCAATTTTGAGGACAACCCTCAACATCCCCGACCTTTTCCCCGTGAAAAACCATTCAGGTGTCTGGACAACCCCAAGAGCCCCAGCATGAGTCATGATTTTGCCTATCAAACCATTCAAGTTTTGGACCCCTAAACACTCAACCAAAACTGTGAAATAAAAAATGTATGAACCAAGAAAACACCTGCCTTTCCACCGGTTCTTGTCAACATGTCCATCAAACATCAAAAAACTATCCGTTCTTTGGGGGCTGATCATTTTGATCCATTTCCATACGTGCTGCTTCATATCCCCAAAATGACGGCTTACTAATCCTTATACATTTGTTTTGTATTCAATGACTTGTCCTGTGGGGAGTGACACTCTTCAACAAAGAATGGCCCAATCACCAACAACTGCCATTAATCTAAACCCATATGTTTTGCATGAAACCAACTAAGACACTACCCTGCTCAAACGTTACCTAGATAACATGTAGATAGGAACGGGTTACATCCTAATATTTGATTGATATCCCCATTCTTGTCGACTGAATACCCTGACAATTTTGTTTGGATTGTTTGGTAATATGTTTCTGCAAAAATTGCCATATGAAACCCAGATTTGTCTTGCTTCATTTCTTTTTTCCCTGACAAAAGTGCACCCCATTCCATCCACTGGTTAATGATCATGTTCCGTATTGAAATAACAATTTTTGGGGGCCGTCCCCCATTTTCAGACACATGTCCCATCACATCCCATCGTATCCCCATACATTATCTCCACTAGTGACCCTTGAATACCATATCACGTAGGTGATTGTTCTATGTGTGTGTGTGTGCATATATATATATATATATACATTCCATTTGTCCCATATTTTGTCTCCATAAAGCCATGAAACGGTCGAATTTTACAGTTTCGTACCACCATTACCGTTAAATCCACCCTCATATCCACCATATATCAACCATTCCTTGTTTCATTGGTGAGATGCCTCTTGTTGATGCCTAAATCCCGTTTTGATGGCTCAAAAACCTTGTTTCATTACTCGAATTCCCATTTTTCCTGCTCCAAACTTCCCTTTCTTGCTTCAAATCCATCCAAAACCCTTCTCCTGAACTCCATCCATCTCTATCCCCTATTGATAGCTTCAGTCCCCCATGGCCACCACCCCGGCTTCCCCGGCTTCCCCGCCCCGCGCCTTGGTCTCCTGCAGATGTCCCTCCGCCGCCCGCAGCGCCTCCTCCTGGGCCAGCCGGAAGCGCGCCTCCTCGGCCAGGGACGCCTCGATGGCCAGGAGCTTCTCCTCCGGCAAGATATGCAACAAAAAATCAAAAAAATATGTAATGATCATGGGTGATTCTTGATTTTTGAGCAGATTTTATGGTAGGCCATAAAAGCAGAATCCTGGGATTTCATGGGGATTTTAGAGGGAGATCATGAAATACAACCAATGGAAATGGTGATTTCGACATATTTTACCATCAAACATGGTAAAAATAGTGGTTGCAGAGAACCTGTCATGATATCAATGGTGGCCTGCGTCATTTCACCCCGGGCATGGGTGGCACGGCCCCCGTCCAGGCAGACACCCCTAAGACCATTGAAGACGAGGGACTGTGATGAAATGCAATGACAATGAATAATACGGGTTTGTCTTGTTGTTATGATATTTAAATCGCAAAAACAACAATGGAAACAATGAGAAGGAAGCATTGGAACAAGCAGCTAGTAACTGTATCAACAACATGTGACATGTGAAGTCGCCCAAATATTTCTTCTGCGGCCTGGTTCTATGGTATCAGGCATATAACTATAACCAATACTAACAAATCATAGGCGTCCTGTTATCCCCAGTTCTGGGAAGTTATGATCTCACCAAAATCTCTGAGGCCGTGCCTGCAAACTCTGCTCTTCAGTGTTGCGAGACTGACTCTCCACCACGGTCTGACAGGATTTTTGGGGCCGAGGGTCGAGAAATTCTTCGGACACCAAAAAAAAGACTCTTTTGAAACCAAAAGAATTCTTCAAAAACTAAAACGTCTGGATTTGCAACCAAAACCTGCCGAAGGCATCTCCAGCTTAATTAGGTGGATTACAAACCAGTGTGTGCCAGGCGAGACAAATGATGCATGGTCAATGGCTCGCAGGGTTTTTCTCGATTGTTCACAGAGAGCGACAGATTCGAGATCTAGTGATGCTCTACATGCAATGTCTTGTTCAGGGGCAGCGGATTTGATGGTGTTCACAGGGGGTTCTGCAACGAATTCTGAATCGTGTTGGTTTGGTTTCTGAATCGTGCTTTTTTGGTTTCTGAATCGCACTTTTTCGTTTCGGACTCGGGATTTTTAGATTTCTGAAGCGCGCAAGGATCGCTGGGCCTGGACCTTTTGGCTCCGCAGGTTTTGGTGAGTTGTGCTACAGTTTTGACTGTTGAAGTTTTCTGGAAATAGTTCAGCAGCTAAGCCACCTATGGAAATCAAGGTAACTCACATGCCCAAAGATCTTGATCCCCCCATCATCCCCCATCCATCATCCGGCCTTGGCTGTGCGGATGCAATGATCCAAGCTGTCGAGGATCCTTGGTTCAGAGTGAGAGAGAACTCGGACAGTAGACCTGATCCAGGTCGCGCGGAGAGATCACCACGTGGTACAAACCGGATCCCAAATCAATGACTGGCTACGGAGCAGCACCCTCCCAATCAATCCATATCCCCACCGATATTTGGTGCTTCATATCCCAATCTGTTCTGTGGCTGCTGCATATGCCAGCTCTGCTGTGAAAAAAACGTCATTTTTGACTCATCCCGCGAAAACCTAAAAGACGTCCAAATGTCCAGTTTCGGGTTATCCCCTGTCATTTATCTCACATAGCAACCATAGGGATCCCCTACCCCATCCCTTTACCAGCCAGCTTAGATTGCCCACCTGGGTTTGTCTGAAAATTGGGCAATGTGGCAAGCCTGCCATAAACTTCCCCAAAATCACCATTTTGCGTGGGTTGTATAATTAAACCATCTCCCAAATGGTAGTTGTTTCTTTATGGCATTGGTTTACCCCACATTAATTGGTAACCATAGTTTAAAACCATAGTCAGTTAGTAACTCTTCATCATGAAAATATATAATATATACAGTATATATAATATACATACATACATATATATATATATCACATTATCCCATACCATCGCCATCGTCCCATCTTTTCCAAGGCTCCTTGGCACCTCCGTCACGGTCCAGCCCTCCGCCTTCGTCTTTTCCTCCCCGTGCTTCGGAGGGCTCTGCCGCGCGGCGCTGAGCGCCAGAAGCTGCAGCACACGCAAGGTCTTCGGGACCTGGGGGGGGTCCTAAGTCATGGGGGTACCCCAATCGCTAGATGGATTACAATGAAAATCCACAAAAAAAAAGGATCAGTTGGGGGTACCCCTATTTTAGGAAACCTCCAAATGGGAAAAGGACCATCTTGATCAGGCAATAACATCGCAACTAATCATATGAACCAGGAAAAATATATAGGAAAATGGGAGATTCAACTCATTATGTTTCAAACTTCACTCGTTGAATTCAAGAGAAAATCTACTGTCAATGGCAAGCCATTCGGCCCATCTCAAAAGCAGCCAATAGCTGAGTGGGTTTAAGCGATAATTTACAGTAATTAAATCATGGAAAAAATTCACCAAGTCTAGAGGGGGTACCAAAATGAAACCCCAAAAATTGGTTGTTTGGTGATATGACAACTCCCATGTTAGGGGGAAGCGTAAATAGCTCTTGAGGTATACCCGGTGGGACTAGATAGCTATGATCAGAAGATTTTACAAAGGCGAGAGAAAGAGAGAGCATTCCTCAGTTTTGTTTCGTGATTTGGCGTCGTGTCAAACTGGGTACCCCAGACATGGGAGCGACGAAGAGCAAAAAAAATGACAAGAAATTATGCAGGAGTTGATTTTGACATATGCCTCTATGAATAATCATGAATAGTAAAAAGTCAAAAATGAACAGAAATTAGCGTTGTTTGCTGGTGAAAACTCTCGACGCTTGATGCTTCAATCAGCTATTGTTTCCCTATCTTTGTGGTTTATCATCTCTATGTGTCGAAAAAAGGTGGGCCAGCTCCAAGTGATTTCTGTTCCGATGTGAGAACTTCGTTTCGAGACCTCCTTGCCCTTCAGCACGCCAACACCATCGAAATCCACTTGGATGCCAAGCTCACCTGGAAGGGTGAAGCCACACCAAATATGGCTGGGAAATCCCCAATGGGCACTTCAATGGGAGCAGAATCTATAAATATCCTGGATTTTCCAGGCCATGTTTGATTACCAGAAGGGTAGTCGTACAGTCGTACTAGTCTAGAACTAGATTCATATGCAGATATTGGATTGTCAATTTGTCAATGATTATGTAGCAGATAGAGGCCCAACTTTGGGCCATTCCCGTATTTTCAATGCATGTGCAGTATCTTAAAGAGAAATGCTACGGGAAACGATGGTCTCTACCATCATCTCTCAGCGAGATGATGAAATGATGAAAAGATTGGCGTAGGTCCTGGACGGGAAAGCAGCTGCATTTGGGGTCTTTGAAATGTGATTGTCATGTTTATCAAATATGAAGGGTTCAATCATACAATCCAATCAAAATCTAGATGGATCCCGCCTTTTCAATCCAAAATGTGGGTCTCTTGATGCCAAAAAAAACCAAGGCCGCCAAGGCGCCGTTGATGGCATCCGCGATTTGCTGAAAGCGTGCCAGACGATCTTCCCTGGAATCCGGCCAAGTTTCCTGAAGCAGGGCCCCAGGTGGAACCATGGTGAACCCAACTGACAGATGCCATGGGGAGCTCAGGTCCCCACCTCCAGCTGGGCTGGAAATCCTGTGGCCTGTTTCAAAGCCACGGCCACATCCAACAGAAACTTCGGGGGCGGCCTGGAACGGAGGGGCTGTACACCTTTGGTCACCTCAGGGGGGAAAAAAAACATGAAGAGTGGGGAGATCATCAATGAATGGGAAAACCGGGATTTAGACAAAAGAAATACCATCTGGTTATTTCACATAGCCATGGAAAAATCCCTTCCATAAATGGAGGTTTCTAGCTGGGAAAATCATCTATTTCCATGGGCCATCTATACCATGGCTATGTTAAATAACCAGAGGGTACAATCAAGATCAATCAAGTAAAGAGGTGATCGACCAAAAAGTACAGCTTAGACAACAACGCCAAATTGGGATTCTTTGGCCTACAGAAAATGTGGATTTCATCATTGAAATCAACAAAAAGGGAATTTAGCGGAACGATAGGGGTCTGGAAGGTACGCAGTGCGCATGGTGACCAGTTCTGGGGGCCACCAACGTTTTGGGAATCTGAACCTATCCAGTTTGGGCCAAAACCTTGATCCATAGCCATTGAAGTCTGTGTAGAAAGGATGAGTATCATCACCATCACCCAACTCCAGGGTATACTGTATCAGTTACATCATCTCCATCGCATGCCTTGCCAGAAGCTCGGCCGCGGATTTCTTGGCTTTGCCAATGACTCCTTCTATTCGGATCAGCTGACGCAGAACTGCCTGGTGCCGAATCTCTTCATGTTGGGGATAGGGGGGTCTTATTGGGATGGGGCCGGAGGGAACCCCGAATGTATGAAAGAAAAGCACTTCAGTCTCTTCAGTCATCTTTTCGATGCAATAAGATACACCATGATACAGGATGCCCAGCCCCATTTGTAGAGGCTTTACCCGTTGGACATGGCAATTTTCCATGGCCATGGTAGCTTACCAGTGGGAACATACATCAACTGAGTGTTGAGAGTTGATGGCGGGGCCCTGCCTCAGTGGTTTCGGGCGTATCTTGCACTTCCTCTGGAGAATACCTTAGTTCACGGCCAGCTTCAAGGCTTGACTTTTCTTGACAGCCTAGAAACAACTTGCGCATTGAAAGCGGAATCTTGAAAGAGTGAGTATCATCAAAGTCTGTGCATTCAAATAGTCCTGCGGTTTTTCTTATATTTGTTATCAAAACCCAGCACACTGTAGTTCACATCAAAATAGGTGGTTGTTTTTTCCTTGTTCATCTCCCAATTCATCTGAGACTTGCAGGTTTTGGCCGATCCCGATCCCCATGTGGGCCAAAGAATCCTACGCATGGTTTATCATAAATGTCTTCCCTAAAAAAGGTCCATTTTCGAGTATCCCGTATCCCTGGTTCTTAGACAAACCATGGCAAACCCATGTCATATTGTTGATTATATATCCCATACATCTCATTATATCATATCATATCCCCATAGAATGGGTAGTTTTATATCGCGATTGCATAAATATCCCCGTGTCTCTTGATGGACTTCTTGCTGTCACCATGACAAGTGACTCTCGCAAAGGTTTCTGTGGCATGCCCTCAGGCATCGCGAAAATGGGCGAGGAGATTAAGGCCTACCGGGACCCAGCGGAAGAGGTTTTGGTTGTTTTGCATGGTTGAAATCTGTCTTTTTGCCAGCATGATCAGCATGGTTTACCCTCTGGTTATTTAACATAGCTATGGAAAATCACCATTTTTCATGGGAAAATCCACTATAAATGGCCATTTTCAATAGCTACGTTAAATTCCCAGAGGGTAATTGTTGTTTCATTTTTCTGATTGTTTGATCTGTTGTGCCCGACCAACCACTTCTGAGCGGGTTCCTGAAAAAGATTCGTAGATGTCCAACTGGACTGATTCAACTTAACCCATGTCAAAGGCATGTCTATCAAGAACTGATGATTAGTAGTTCATATCCACCAGTCCTGGGTAAAATCACCTATTTGTCACATTTCATGCTGGTTCAAATCCCCATGTTTGGTAAAATCCCCGAGTTTTTGCACCATCTTCCCATTGGAGCCTGCAACGCGCTGACGGCTTTCGTCACCTCTCCTGACATCCCAGTGGATGTTGGTTTTCCTGTTCAAAATGGCCATGTATTGGGGCTACATCCCTCATTTTCAGACACAAAAACCGTATCAGATTGGTTATATATCCCATGAAAATATATACATATGTATATGTATGTATGTATATATATATATAAACTCTATATATATATATGCATATACATATGTAAATATATATATATATTAGAAACATACATACATACATACATACATACATATATATATATATATACACACCTGTTAAATCACCATGAATGTCCTTCAGAGAGGCCCTCAGAGAAGGTCACGACCATGTCAATGGTCCTGGGTCAGCGTAGAAGTCAACTTCTGGTCCAGCAATGGCGGCAGGGTTGCCGGGAGTCGGGCGGGATGGATGGATGGATGGATGGATGGATGGATGGATGTCTGTATGTCTGTATGTCTGTATGTATGGATCTATCTATCTATCTATCTATCTATCTATCTATATATATATATCTCTCTCTCTCTGTCTGTCTGTCTGTCTATCTGTCTATCTGTCTATCTGTCTATCTGTCTATCTATCTATCTATCTATCTATCTATCTATCTATGCATCTATGTGTATATATAATAGTTATATATATAATACGTATACATATATAATATGTATATATAATATGTATATATAATATGTATATATAATATGTGTGTATATATAATATGTATATAAAATATGTATATATAATATGTATATATAATATGTGTATATATATAATATGTATATATATATAATATGTATATATATAATATGTATATATAATATGTATATATATATATACATATTATATATATATAATATATATATATATATACACGTATGTATTTATATTATGTGTGTATATATATATATATATATCCGTGTGTGTGTGTGTGATTGAATGAAGTGGGCGACGGGCATCCATCATGTTTCAACATTGCGCACAGATCCTGACGTTTGCGACGGGAGCCTATGTTTTTTTCGGGTAAAACGACCCGAGTTTTTTCTGGCTCTCCCGGATCCCAGATTTTCGGGCAGAAAGCGGCATTATAAAGCGCATGTATTCGGGACAAGATAAAATATACAACCATTATAAGACCTTTATACGTATTGTTTGAGCGGCTGGCAGGTATATATCCTTCTGTAATGATTTTGGAACCGTGGGAAACATGAATTCCCGTGGATTTTGAGTGAATATAGGGTAATGTCGTGGGAAAAATGCGACATTATGGAATCAATGGGAAAAATGATGGAACAATGGAGGGAATTCGTATGTATTTGGATGAGAGAACTGTTAAAACCGTGGCAAAAATTGGAAATTATGTGAGCATGGGCGAACGTCTGGTTCTGCGGGCAACATTGACTATCATTGAGCAGACACTTTGGGTTCATTGTCTGTCATTCTTGCAGTACGAGGGTTGCTGTGGAGATTCATTCCGCCATGTCGATAATGGTCCATGATGGTTTTAATGTTATGACACAACAAAATATAAACCCTGGTTAGCAAAGTTAGTAAGGTTAGTATATAGGTTAACTCCCATCCCCTTGTTGCTAATTCTGTGTTGCTTCATAACCTGCAACCCCTGGTGACACAGCAAATCTCAGGGGAAGCCATGCGTCTGCCCCATCTCCAACGTTGTGAGCTTGTGCAATTCTTCTAGCTTCACCTAGCTGGAAACTGGAGATGATGGAGCTGGAAACTGGGTCAAAGTGAGATATTGACCAAATAGATATACGAATAAATTGCATTAAATGACTATATAGTTGGACATCATTAAGGCACCATAAGATAATCAACCATGGAAATGGAGAATTCCCTCTTTTGCGCCCATTTGGAGATGATATTCCCACTGTCATACCATGCAACACCCAAAAGGTACCTGCAATGAGACTTGCGTGGGTTCTTCTCACATGTTCGTGCTCAGCGATCGCTGACTAGTCCTTTAAAAAACTGGTTGTACTGTGGTCGAGCCCCCATCCGCAAAATTGTCGTCAGTGCAGGTAGTGATGGGCCAATTTAATAGGATGCAAGGTGAATAAATAGTTGAAACCACCAACCAGCTTTGATGGTTGTATCAGCAACACACTCCTTCTTTTGCTTGTTTCACATCCCCAAGTTTCATGGGAAACCTAACAATTCCTTCGTGTCAAGAATCAAGGGTGGGTTTGGTATACCACTTTGGCATCCTTGACCTCAAGAGGTCTGCGAATAATCACATCTATCAGGCCTGTATAGATGTCAACCCAGGAAACCATTTCTCATCCTACAGCTATTCAATGTGATTCATCACTCTTGGATGTTATACACTCCAGAAATATTCATCAACCAAGCACGTCCCACTCATGGCAAAAAACGGCTCAACCCAGCTGATAGAAAATGACAAGTATTAAGAAACCACCAACCTGTTCTCTTGGTTATTGATGGCTATTGCAGGGGTATATCGGTTGTATCCCCATTTGCTACGCAAAAAAAATATCTTTGTTGGTCAAATGCCAAATGTTCACAGAAAAAATGTAGCATTACTTGGTGGCTGGATTCCCAATGTTTCTTGGAAAAAAACATTGCCATAGATCCCATGAAATGGTGGCTAGATCTGCTATTTCTTGGTGGGCAAGTCTCCATTCAATGCTGGCTGCCCCGGAACGGCCTGAAGCTGCTTCTGGATCAGCGTGAGGATCTGAGCGATCTGCTCCAAGGCCGGGGTCCCCTCAGTGACGAGTGGCTGAGCCATCCAAAAGGTGTGTTTTTTCGCATCAAACATGTGAACTTCATCAAAAGATATGGGGTGGAATCAGGTTGGATACGTTGAAAACTCACGTCAATCCATTCTTTTTGCGGGGATTAAAAAAGGAGCGCAGAGGAAAAAAATATCACCCACACATGTTTGAATGTTTTGTGGTGTAATAACAACTTTAAGTTGTCTGCTTTGAATAATTTGTTGGGGCGCAAGAAATTAGAACCATAAGCACTTGCTGATGATTTTGAAGGGCCTCAAACCTTACCAAAAAATGCATAACGCATAGGTCAATAGTGGCCTCAAAGTCAAGTGATCTGCAGTTTTACATTCGCAATTGCTGGTTGAAAACACTCTTTGAAATGGTGTGTTCCCTGTCAACTGCCACGAGTTCCAGGATGCTAAACCCTGCAAATGTCCCCTTGAACCACTGGGACTGTCCTAAAAATCAAGGTGCCCCAAAGACTTGAGCCATACCCTAGTGGTTGGTACGTGCTAAGCATATCCCATTATATCCCATGGTTATTGGTTGATTCCCCATGTTTCATTTGGGTAATATGAAACCATGGAAACCCAAATGTTAAAATGCCTTCAAAACCCATCCTACTTGGATCATACTAACACTTTTGTTGGTGCAAACACCACTTTTGATGCTCAAATGCCAAACAAAATCACCCAGGTTGTAGGTCAATCACGGTAAAATTGTCTGAATATCTATCCATCCATCCATCCATCCAACCAACCAAATCTATCTATCTATGGGCAAATCACCCAAAAACGAATCAACATTCTGCGCCTGCCGTTGACTCTCAGCCTCTGCTTCTTCGCGGATTTCGCCTCAATGGCAGCTGGGGCACGGCACGGCGCCTTTTCGGCCCTTCACGATCAAATCTCTTCGAAAACCTCATATGTATCATTTATTTATTTATTTATTTATTTATATTTATATTTATATTTATATTTATTATTTACATTTATATTTATATTTATTTATTTATATATGTTTTTTATATTTATACACATATAATATATATACATATCAATATATATATATACATATCAATATATACACAAATAATCGTCTATTTTTAAATATATATATATATATTTAAGTGGTGGACCTCCCCATTCTTCGTTGTAAAATCACCATATTGCGGACCCCAAGGGCTCTGCGCTTTGCTTCGGAAGGCGTCCAACTCCACGGTGGCGCGCTTCACGCTGATGTCCAGGCTGCAGGCGTCGCTGACGCATTGACCTCGATGGGTCAAATGGCTGTGGGATTGTCCCCAAAAAAATGTTAGATATTGTATGCTATTGTTTCTTGGGAACTAAATCACAACAAAAAAACAGAAAATAGGAAATATATGGAAAAATGGGGGGAGTTGAGAGCCTCAAGAAAAGATGGGTAGTCGAATGAATGGGGGCTCATTTGATGGGGATAAAGAGACCTGACATCTTTGGGGCCTGGAAAGATAGACTCATGAAATTTTATGAGCCTTCCACGGGGACATCAATGAACACTTGGGGATGGTCAAAACACGTCAAAATCCATGAAGCGGATGAGCATCCACAGCCATGTTGATGTGAACTAGGTGGGACCAAGGCGTTGACCTACGTATAGCCATCTTATCGCAGAGGTTCGTTTGGATACATATGACCGAACTCACCTGCATGCACTTGGAATGCCAAGTCATGCACACGGCAATATTAATCAGCATGCAAAAGGCAAAGGCAACCATATTTATTCGAATCGCTTCGCGACGAGAACCGCCCGCACCCAGAGAATTGGATAGAGAGGAAACGAGCGGGCGTACTTGGCCCAAACAAAGCCGACTGGGGTCAAACTTGGCCGTCCTTGGTCTTAAGTCAGGAGCCCACTTCGGCCCAACTTAGGGCCTAACTCGCGCCGAACTGGGGCCAGTTGGCTCCAACCTGGGCCCAAGTTGAGCCCAACTGGGGCCCAACATGGCGCAACATGGGCACGTTTGTGCGCAAGTTAAGCTTAAAGTTGCCCAATGTGAGCAGAGTAACATTGCCTTGCACGAACCCGCATCAAAGCCAAATAAACGCTGGAAACAGCCGTAAAAATGCAAGCTTTCAGCGTGTCGCGCTGAGTCCGCAAAATTGGCCAGTGTTGCAGTGTGGGTGCCCCGCGGGGCCGCTAAGTGATTTCTGCCGCTTGCCCCGCTTGCCCCGCTTGCTCCGCTTCTAGGGAAAATAAGTGAATCTTCCTCCTTGCCCCGCTTGCCCTGCTTGCCCCGCTTGCCCTACTTGCAAACCGAGGGAAGATCGGTGGTTCTTCCCGCTTGCCCCGCTTGCCCCGCTTGCCCCGCTTGCCCCGCTTGCCCCGCTTGCCCCGCTTGCCCTGCTTGCTTTGGTTTCAGCACACAGCAGTATGAAAAAGGAATAGAGGTGGCAACGTGAATGGAATGTTTGGGCGAGTGGGGCGAGTGGGGCGAGTGGGGCGAGGGGGGCGACTCCAAACACCGTTGCAACAATACCAGATTGGATTCTGCAAGTTCCCTTTGTAAAGACGTGTGCAAGATCTCCTTGACAGGTTCTTTCTAGACGCTGCTGTGCAAGATCCTTTTGTACAAGGTCTGTATGAGACCAAACAAAGATCGACTATGTTTAAACATGTCCTCGAAAAATTGCGTTGAACATTGCTTGACACCAATGTGCATCAAGCATCACCGGAAGCAACCTCCAGCCATTCCGGGAATGCGCACCGACGCGCAGTGCACGGGCCCCGCGGGACCACAGACCCGATGGTCACAGTGAGGAGTGGACTATTGTGCCATCTCTATTTGATTGCGTACCAACATCACGCATGCTGGCATCAGCATCTGCTGAATCCCTAAGGTAGAAGCCGTTGTCCTGGTGCCACTTAGCATCGGCACCTGCAGACGCAGGAGTCAGCGACATGGTCGGTGTGGACAGGACTCCCGTGAGTCTTCTTTCCCCCATGAAGCAGAAAAAATATATCGCAGTCGGAAAGGATGGTAGAAAACAGAAAAAACAGGTGCAAGTTTCAATTCTTTCTTGGACTGGATCAGGAACAAATAAAACATGTGTCTTGCTTCAACATCTCGAACGGCTATGTTCAGCGAACAGTGGCTTCACATGCGCCGCGCAAACTATTTCGGAGCCGCGGTGTTGGCTGTCCGCTTTGCCTCAAAAAGAGTAGATTGGGCCTTTGTCAATCTCATGCCACCAGCGCACACGATTGAACACTAGAAGGCCGAGCAGACTGTTTTGAATGTGGCTTTGGACACGATGATGAACCACTATGTAAGATCTTCACACCACAATGTCTTGTCATGAAAATGGGTGGGTTGATTGAAATTGATGCACAATATGTTGCAGCCACCATACAGTCTTGATTGAAAGCATTCACCTCGTAGGGTCAGGAACACGCTCGGGCTGGAAAGAAGCCAGAGCTTAATTTCGAGGAATCGCACCATTATTGACGCGTATCTTTGGAAACAAGACTTATATACAACAAGTGCTTTGGAGCACATTGTCACTCTTTTTTTGGGCTGGCAGTTTAGACATGGGACCGTGCAAGACCTCGTATTTCTGGAATCCTACTTGAAATCATTGGCACTCAGTTGCAGCTTGGCAATCATGTCTTGAGCTTCCGAATTAGTCAAAAGGTCTTCCCAGGCACATGTCTGGTAGTACAGGACAGCGTGGCCACCTGGCGGGCCTCGTGGCTCGCTCTTTAGCGTGGCCTCCTTGCTCTTGGCGCTTTTCTTGTCCTTAAGTTTGGGCGCCTGCTCTTCCACTTCCTTCTTGTCAACCTCTTGCAAGATGCCAACTTTCAAGAGGTCTTTGACTGCTGCCAAGACGTACTTTGCTGGTTTTTCTTCTTTCTCCTTCTGAAAGTGGTACTTCAGAACAGAGCGAATGTGCGCAGTGGAGGTTGGACCAGCGCATCGAGGATTGGACAGAATGACTTGCTGCAATTTCATCTTGGCATCCAAATCTGCAAGTCCTGGGGTCTTGACATCTGGCACGGCTTTGGGGCCTACCAAGGCTTGGACTTGCTTGGAGCATCTGCGTCAGCATAGCGTAGCTTCTGTTAGATTGGTTCTTCTACATTCTCGTGATTCTCGTGCAAGAAGTCGGAGATTCCCTGCAAAGCCTTCCTGAGCACGGGCAAGGCGAACTTGTCAAAATAGTGGTCTTTGTCCTGGTTGCTTGCCACGCGCCCCATCCAACCAAAGAAGTCAATCAGAAACTCTTTGCTGGACTGGCTCTGCTGATCAGGGTCACTTGTCACTGGCCTTGTTTGCCACGTCGCATGGATTCTCTTGGAAAACATGCTTGCAGTCGGCTGGAGCACATACTCACAAAGCGACACCTGTCCATACACGTGGTGAACGAAGATGTAATGAGTCAGCGCAGTGGCACCATCTCCAGTGACTGTCTTGTCACCTTCGCAGTTCAGCCAAGTGCACATCTTTTCTTTGTTGCCGTAGTGCAGACCTGAGTGTCGGGTCTCCCTCCCGGATGTCACGGCATATTGTTGTGGCAATCTCATCCGAAATGATGCCAGCTCGGACATATTCTTTGATAGAAGCACGAATACCCTTGATGGTGGCATCCGTGCATGTGGCGCCACCTGCCTTGATGACAGCAGGGACATCTGCATGGGAAAGAAGCTTTTTGCTGGTAAAATCCTTCAAAGAACTCTTGCGCATGCTGGGGTCACCTGCGCAAACAATCTGGACTACGCAGCCACGTTGGTGCTCCTCATCAGGCTGCAATCGAAGCCGCGTGCCTGCATGGATGCTCCATCCAACCAATGTTGCTGAGGATCGGCGCCATGAATGTCTCAGGCTCCCAACCTTCCTTGCGGGCAATGGTTCTCAAGCTGACTCCGAAAGGCGCGGGCAGCACTTCTCGAGTTCGGAAGGCAAAGTCTGATGCCACAGCGTTCCCTGGGGTCTTTCAAGGCTGCATTCAGAACGGTTTGATAAGAAGCCTCCGGGCTTCCAAGCCCTTGATATGTGCTCTTGGTGTGAAGGAATGAAAGGCTTTGTGCTTCATCCATGCAAGCCAAGTAATTTGATATGGCGTCGTGCATAGGATCCTTCACCGTGGTAGATGCCTTGCTGGTCTGACTCAGGTCGTAGATGTCAATCCCAAAGCTTGGAATGGACAAGCGGGCTGCTTCACTTCCACCCTGTGTGAAGGGAGGGCTTTCTGGGCTTGGGGACCTTTGGGTGGGCGGCACTGGGCTGCGTTGTCCTGCTGGTGGGCTTGCGTTGGTTGTTAACTTCTTGCCCGCTGGGCCCCCACCCGCACGGACAGGCGAAGCTGCCTCTTCTCTGGTCTTTCTTTTTACCCCCTCAGCCACAGCCTCTGCTTCCATTGCTGCCTCAATCTCCATCTCTTGCAAACCACCATCATCAGCCTCTTCCTGGGAATCTTCATTCTGAAGACAGAATGGGGAGTCATGCATAGGGCAGCCCTACTTTAATCGGTATTGCTGCAAGCAATCCGCCTGGCACATGTGTGAGCAAGAGTCTCGGCTCGGCTCGGGGAGCACAAGTGTTTTTCCGCATCGTCTGCGAAACCATCTCCACAAATTTCACACGTGGCCATGTCTAGGAAGCTAACTCCTACAACTTGAACTTGATGGCGCGGCTTGGGTACCGGAGAGCACTTGTCAATGCGTGGTATGATGGTCATATTTGTCGGATTTGCCTTTGCAGTCCCAAGCGTGATATCGACAATATGCAACCAAACTGGGTCTCATGCATGTTGCGCTGCGTGGACAGCCGGAACAATGTGAAAATGTTCACATGCCCTCCACATCTCTCAGTTTCAACACTTCTGTAGCGCGCAGCGAATTTTTTTAACCTCGCGACATTATCAAAAACTGCTTGGCCTAGTGTACAAAAGGACTGCACAATATCGTCCATGCCATTGAGGCCCACAGGTCGCAGTGGACGAAGCCAGGGCGGCGCTAATCAGGTACGGATAATTTGCGGTCTGCGGCCTGCAGCGTCTGCAAACAAGATTCTTGCAACGCTTGAACCCGAACCTCCTACGTTCACCTAGCTGCAAAGAAAACGACTCCAAATAGGGCAGTCGTGGTAATGGTACAGATGATGAATTTCTGTCGTCGGGAGATTACTTCCTGACATCTCGCTGTTGACTTCAAGATGTCCCAATCACAAACAGAATCTGCAATCTACAGCCCAAGACGTTATATACACCAGCACACTTTGCGTCGCTACTTACTGGCTTGGTTCGAACCACTGTACCAAATCTGTATATTTCCATACAGCCCACTGCCTAACCAAGTACGGGTAACTAACATACATCCTTGTGATTCTACTTTTGTATGCTCGAGATACCATCGACAGCCCGGCTCAGAGAGCACAGGTAAGCCAAGGGCCGCTAATCTTGACAGTGGCAAGTGGCACCACCAGATAGAGCCAATGTTTGCAAGTTCAGTCACATTGGGAAACATGCATCTGGAAACACACAGACCGGCAAGAATGCCAGATAGGATGTCAGAATGTATGCCACATAGACTCCCATAAAAAATGCCAGATAGAATGTCAGGCAGTATGTCAGATGAAATCTCAGACAGAATGCCAGATAGAATATCAGATAGAATGCCAGAGAGAATATCAAAATAATCAGAAACAATCTCAAAATATATGGCAGATGGAATGCCAGAAAGAATGCCCGATAGAATCTCTATATATATATATATATGATATGTCAACTAGAATGCCAGTTGACCGGGGCCACTCGAGGAAAGTAATTTTGACTATTATCGTTTATCAGGCGGGCGTCTACCCATTCCATTCCATTCCATCCGTCCGTCCGTCCATCCATCCTATCCATCCACCCATACTGTCCATCCATCCGTCCTTTCCGTTCATCTACATATCTATCTACCTAGCTATCTGTTCACCTATCTGCCTATCTACCTATCTATCTACCAATCTATCTAGCTATCTATCTTTCGATCCATCCATCTATCGAATTTATATACTTTCATACAACGTTGCAATCCTTGGGTTGCATGTGGATTGAAGATTCCAGAAAGAACACTCTTCAATCCAAAGAAGGGTACAGAGGGTACCGACAACAAGAAGCATTGAGAAGCCGTTCTCACGACATGCGCGTCAGCCCGTATTCAAACAATCCAGACCGACTGCCCCGCTTGCCCCGCTTGCCCCGCTTGCCCCGCTTGCCCCGCTTGCCCCGCTTGCCCCCTTGCCCCGCTTGCCCCGCTTGCCCCGCTTGCCCCGCTTGCCCCCCTTGCCCCGCTTGCCCCGCTTGCCCCGCTTGCCCCGCTTGCCCCGCTTGCCCCGCTTGCCCCGCTTGCACTTGCTCTGCTTACCTCCGCAGCAAGTGCGTCGAGTGGGGGGAGTGGGGCGAGTCGGGCGAGTGGGGCGAGTCGGGCGAGTGGGGCGAGTAGGGCGAGTGGGGCCGAGTAGGGCGAGTGGGGCGAGGGGCCAAAGTCAATTAATTTTCCTACCAAGGCAAGTGGGGCGAGTGGGGCGAGTGGCGGATTTCAATTAATTTGCTAGCCCAGGGCAAGTGGGGCGAGTGGGGCGAGTGGGGCGAGTGGCGGATTTCAATTAGTGTTCCTCGTGGGCGCCCGCAATGCAGTGTTGGCTCAGCTTGGGCCCCCACAGAGGCAGCTGCGCTGGCCAAGTTGGAGCCAATGAGTCAGGCGGGGCTGAGGGTGGGTCCAAATGTACCCCAAATTGAAGCCATGTGATGCGCATGAAGGTCCAAGTCACGTCCAAAGTGGCGCAACTTGGGACCTTTGGCGTCAGCTTCACGCCAAGTTGGGCCCAACGGAGACACAACACGGGGAACGTTGCTCAACACGACGAAGCGTCATCGATGCCGACAAAACGTGGGAAATATCAGTGAAAGGCGCGTTTTGACTAGTTCGGCTTGTGTTAGTCACTTTGAAGCCATGTGGGCCGAAGTTGCTCCCAAGCGGGTCCAACTTCAGCCAAACTGCGACATGTTGGAGCCAAGTTGGGCCGAAGTACCGTTGCAGCCAAGTGGGTCCAAGTTGGGCCGAAGTTGGGGCCTTGTTGGCCGAAGTTGACCCCAAGGAGCCCATGTGGCGTCCAGGTCGGATCGAAACGGTGCATTTGGCCGAATGTTGGGCCGATCTGCAAAATGCGCAAAGTACCACAGCGGGGAACCGACTTTTGGCGAACAAGGGCCCCCCCCAGCTGAAGCTGTACCAGTCTGACAGATCTGTCCGGTCGCATCCACTGCTAAACTACCACGCCTTGGCACCTTCGGTGCGGGCGGATTTATATTCGCATGCCATTACAATAAATTACATCACACAAAATAAGAGTGCATTATGTACTTGCATTGCATGACATTACATTGGATTACATTCGTCACAATTACACTATATCATATACATTGCAGATGTATATCATTGTATATCATATTATATGGACATTCATCACATCCGATCGGAAAAAAGAACTTCTCGCTAGCAATCAAGGTACCCTCCAGCTGCACCAGCTTCTCCACCCCTTTCCGCAGTTTCTCCAGTTTAGGCAGGGACCTGCAGCGCTTCGCCGGACTCCTGGGCAACCTCCAAGTGGTGCCTGAAAATGGGGTATACCCCAATTGTTTATCAGGAAAATGATCATTCACCACTGGAACGGGGTAATTTTTTGGGTGATTATAGTGATTACCATGAATTCTCCTATGTTTCTGTAAAATATCCAAATTTCATCAAATTTCCCTGAACATGTCCCCGATTCCATGGATCTTTGGCACCTTTCCCCAGGTCCCCCACCTGCCCAGCCCCATGATCTGCAACGTGGCATCTCCCGCTTCAGCGCCTTCGCCCCAAAGCTTCAGGTCCTACCGGGAACCCGGAAATCCGGGAATCCGGCAGAGGTCCAATGGAATCCGGATGTTAAGTGATGTACTAATTAGGGAGATACCGGTGCTACAGCCATAGTACATAGGGGTTTAGTAGGGTTTATTGGGATTTAATGAAGTATTACAGTAATAGGATGTACCCTCTGGTGTCATCAAACATGGCCAGCCGGAAGACCCCCAAACCATACATGGAGGTTTATAGCTGGGAAAATCAACGAACTAAATGGGCCACTATCCATAGCTATGTTTAATTACCAACGTTGCCAACGGGTAAGTGATGTGTGGCTAAGTCAAATGATCGATGATGATATTGGATGCTGATGTTTTTGTTTATGCAAGTTTATCATGACTGAGATGTTTTGAGCTGGGAAGCCACCGAAAGGCCATTAACACAAGGTGGCGCCCACTTGTTATAAGTTGCTTTCTAAGCCCCATTAATCATATCTATGTGTATTATATATATATATGTGTGTGTGTGTGTCATGCTATATCTACCATAAAACCTAGTCAAACGAGTTATAAACCGACTTAGCTGTTGTGCCGGGGGGGGCCCACCAAACATCAGTAACTCAGCTGGATCAGCCAACACTTCACAGCTCCCGGTCCTCATCGAAGCCGTGCTTGAAGACATGAACCAAATTCAGCTGCTGGGACAAAGCCTCCGTGTCTTGCCTCCCAGAGGATCGGTGGTGAAAGGAACTGGTTCACCAACCTCAGGCACTTAGATTTATATATAATGATTTATCCACGGTGGAATACGCCATTCCTAAAGTTTCCCTTTAGGCCAGTTTAATGGGAAATGATCCTTTTTATGGGAGAATAGGGGTACCTGATTGTACCAGTGGCGACTTGGGGGTCAGTCGCTGGGTGTTCCCATCTTCGAACCTGGCCCTCCCAGTTGTTCCAGCTTTGGATGTTTACAAGTACCAATTATTTAAATGGTGTTGTGAATTCTTGTGTATTAGTTCTATACATATATATATGTGTGTGTGTGTGTTAATATATATATATATGTTAATATATATATATATGCTAATATATATATATATGTTAATATATATATATATATGTGTGTGTTCTATATATATATATGTGTGTGTGTGTTCTATATATATATATGTCTAGAAACTTCTATGCAATTCTATATACAGTGTACACACAAAAATATACAATATATACAACTGTCATAACACTCCCTACAGTTTCCGTGCCATTTCCACCGCCTGAAGGAGCGGTGAGACTTCAGCCAGGCATGGGCCTCCCCGGCCACAGCAAGGGGTTCCTCAAAGCTGGCAGACGCGACCAAGTCCACCAGGCCGCGCAGGGAGAGTTCCAAGTCATTCCTTGGGAAAATCTTCACCAGAAATGGGTGGGAAAAAAAAAACATCCCCTAGTTGGCATGGGTTGACTATTTGGATTTGCCACATGACTAAAATTGGATAAGAGATGATAAGAGAAGGTTTGGGGGATTTTGTAGACGTTTTTGGTGATGTTTGGGCAGATACCGATACGAAGAAGAAGAAGAAGAAGAAGGTGTTGGCATTGTAAAATGCAAAAAGACACGATCAAAATTTACAGCTAGAAATATAAGCTTCAAGATCAGTACTCCTTTGCATGAAAAACATCACTGATTGGTGGACAGTGGATATCCAGGATCAACAACAAATCCACATCAAAAGGTGGGCAGCTACTGGTCCCATAGGGCCAAGGAAAACAAAACTGGGTTTGAAAATAGGGAATCCTTAAATCCACTAAAAATTCATCGTTTTCCCTACTATTTGTTCTGGGGGGTCCACCCCGAATTTTGGATGGAATTCGATACACACCCAAATGTACTATACTAAACATATGTAGACATATGTATATACATATATAACATTGTTGGCAATAAATATTATATGCTGTATTAAAAAAAAAAAAACGGTACTTCATATATACCAAAATATACCCTCACTAATCATATCTATATATATATATAAATATTGCATCCAATAAATCTCCCCATTATTCGTGAATTCCGGAGTGAATCCCACCGTTTTCCGACCAGGGTCTTCTCTTGCAACAGCCGCAAGCGTTTTTGCCTTTCTTCCTCCAGAGCATGTGCCGCACGTTCGCGCTCTTCTCGAAAGCGCTGCATCTGCCGCTCATGCTCCTGCCGAAGGACCATCCCATGTTTTTCGAAGTCAAAGATGTCCAAACATTATGCAGAACCCATAATGAAGCCATAATGAAGCCATATGTGGATGCACAAAATCACCTCCGCGATCGCCCATGCACCCCAGTTTGACCCTTGATGCCTCACTGAGCTTCGCTTTCTCTTCCCAGTTGTTGTTCAACATCAGTTCCATCTCCTGCAGAAATCACAGACTTGGTAATGTTTGGTCATCTAAAACCACCACAACTTTGCGGAGTTGAGAATCTCATCATCAACAGGCGGCCTTCTTTTGTGTTGAACCATTCGGATTTGGGGGGTCAGTGATTTTGAGATCTAAATTGATGCGCTTTCTGGGTTGATGCCAGATGGCAGCGGATCAAAATTGTGTTCATAGAAACTGGGATGATGTTTGTTCCATGGAAAAAGACTGGGCTGATGACTCGTGGCTCAAAGTTGGGAAAACGGAAAAAAAAAACACGACATATGACCCGACGTGGCAGCGAAAGCTCGGAACAACCATTTATACTTCTTAGGCGTATGGTTTTGTCGGAAAATGGGGTGCTCCATTCCATCCACTGGTTTCTAATTATGGTGCATTCGCCTCTTTTCAGACAAAGCCTAAATTCTAGATTGTCAGCTTGAAATGCATTTTTCTGCAAAAGCGCCACAAAATCGCTGGGCCTTCAACTGCTTCTGGAACTTCTGTTGCTCCGCCTCCTTCTCTGCTGCTGTCATGCCGCCTCTACCTGGTCCACCTGTTGGCATATGTTACCCTCAATCAAACATGGCTAGCGGCTGGGGGGAATTCCCTGAACTAAATGGGTATCTAAATAGGAAAACCATCTTTACATCAAGAAGGATGTCGGGAGACGGGAGAATGAGTTTATCATATTGTTTTGGTTGTATATCCACATAATATCCTCTTCGGGGTCATCAAACATATGATTTTGTCAGCCATAAAAGCTCCCTCTAGTTCGGCGATTTCCTATGCCATTTACCAACAGGTTAGGGCTTCTGTTTAGGGCGAATCTTCACCAACAAAGCACCTATAAGGCCGAATTCTAAGCATCAGTAGCTGCTTTAAGGGATGGTATCAGCGGCGCAGGTCTCAGTGCAGGTCTCAGTACCAAACCACTGGACATCGCGATTTTCGGGACTGGCCTCCACTGTCGACAGCTGCGAGTTTCTTCTTCAGCTCTTCAACTTCTGCCTTCAAACGTGAGACCTGCAGGTCGAGCCACTCAGGCTCTGGGGAGTGATAGGGATATGTCACATTACCATCAATCATGATTGAATTCACTAAAGAGTGATTGTGTAGAAATATATATATATACATAATATTAATATAGAATATTAATATTACGGCCAGGCCCTGTGTGTTGCCCGGAAGTTTACAGGGACGTTCCCGGCAAATTTCATGATGATGATGATGATGATGATGATGATTGAAGATCTTCAATGAATGTAGAAGTTCCACGGGGTGGGAAATTAAACCCTTATTGAGGATCTTCAATGAATGTAAGAGTTTAACGGAGTTGGGAGAATTAAACCCTTATTGAAGATCTTCAATGAATGTAAGAGTTTAACGGGGGTGGGAGAATTAAACCCTTATTGAAGATCTTCAATGAATGGAAGAGTTTAACGGTGGTGGGAGAATTAAACCCTTATTGAAGATCTTCAATGAATGGAAGAGTTTAACGGGAGTGGGAAATTTCACCCTTATTGAAGATCTTCAACGAATATAAGAGTCTAAGGGGGGTGGGAGAATTAAACCCGTATTGAAGAATCTTCAATGAATGTAGAAGTTTAACGGGGGTGGGAGAATTTATATGATATGTATAGTGTGAACAGAAAATCATTGTAATTTACGCTATTCTGGGCTTGGGCAACACACGGGGCCTGTAGGTAATATTATATTTACTATAATATTAATATAAAATATAAATATTATATTTAATATAATATTAATATAAAATATTAATATACTATTGATATGATATTAATATAATTTTAATATAATATTAAAATAATATTAAAATAATATTAAACTAATATTAAAATAATATTAATATAATATTAATATTATATTATATATACATTTGATATGTTATATTAATATCATATTAATATTATATTAATATGATATTAATATAATATTAATATAATATTAATATAATATTAATATGATATTAATATAATATTAATATAATATTAATATAATATTAATATAATATTAATATAATATTAATATAGTATTAATATAATATTAATATAATATTAATATAATATTAATATAATATTAATATAATATTAATATAATCTTAATATAATATTAATATAATTTTATTATAATATTAATATAACATATTAATATAACATATCAAATGTATTTATAATATAATATTAATATTATATTAATATAATATTAATATTGTACTAGTATAGTACTAATATAGTACTAATATAATATTATGTAGCATAATATATTATCCACTGGTGGGTGCATGAGCCTCCCAACTCATATGCCGGACGATCGATTGACTGTGGCGCATATTCGAAACCATCAAGCGGTGCACGACTGCTTCTTACACAAATTGGGTTTTGAAAATGGGGGACCATTCAATCCATTGGTTGTAGAACAAGCACTATTTTTCCAGAATGTTCCAATAAAGAAATTGGTGGTATACCCTATTTTCAGACACAGGTTCCAGCCTGTGAAGCCTCCTCATTCTTCGTTGCAGAAACCTTGATGGCCTTCGCGCGATTCGCATAGCGCAATGTTGACATTGTCTCCTGACACCGGATCAAGAGTCTCAGGCTCGCTTCTCAGACTCCCCAAAGCATCCAAAGGCTAACTGTGGTTTGCCATAGTTTGCCTTGAAATTTGCACCATGCCCCATGGTTGATCATCATTTCTCCCTATTTTTAGTTGCGACTTTTAAACAGTTCCGTCCTCGTAGTTGCAAGCTGCAGGGGAGAGAGTTGCCAACATCGTGCATAAAGAGTTGCCGCCCAGGGATTCTTGCCTGTGCTGCGGTCAGCAACACTCGACACTGCCCGACCTATTTTGATGGCCGGGTCCCAAGTGACCTCTCAATCTACAGTACCGCTGTGATGATCTGTCCAGGACCAGAAACCTGGCAGAGCCTCAAATCCCAATCCCAGTGCAAGGTGCAAGACTCGCGTCAGCTTGGAGTTGCGATATGGAATGAAGACCTTCTTCCCGTTCGCTGTCCTTTGCGGTGTGCAAAGAGAATAGTGGATAAATGTGGATAAATTGGATCAGATCTGCTAAAGCCAAGCATCTCCACTAGTGCATTGATCACATTCCCAAGAGCACCTAAGTTGCAGCCAAGTAGTTGCTACGACTACCGAACAACCTTTTTCCGTTCGGCAAAGCAGTGCTAACCCACACGTTTCAACTGTACAAACTGTAACTTTTCCAACTGTTTGCCATGGTTTTTCCGTTGAAGGCCTCATGTATACCCTCCAACAATATTATGTACCTGTCAATGGAAATCACCTACGCATTCATGACATTATCATGCAAAATGTTCATGGTCCATTGTCCATTGCCAGAATTTCTCCGCTGCACAGAAGATGGTAAATTTTCTCGCCCAATAGACTAGACATCACACAATTGGTCTCAAATTCTCCGCATAGCCGCATAGCTACTGATTCCTCGGGTTATGCAACTGGCTATCCTTGTTTGCCAGACTTTCGTTCAGTGGCCTAAATGTTCCTAGGATTGAATGTAAATGGTTAACGTCTTACCAAAATTTCTCCCTAAGGTTCTTTTGTGATGGTTTATGTAATGGTTTATGTAATGGTTTATGTAATGGTTTATGTAATGGTTAATCGTGAGTCCCCCCAGTGAAAATGTTTCTGGTTTTTGTTGGGTTAACGTTCATAATTGATGAACAAAACTTAGTTCCAGGTTTTCTTTGGGAAACTGCACAAAGCACTTTGTAGCATAAAAACATGTAAAAACACAATTCAAAACTGCTCTTGACTTGTGTGCAGTAATATCGCTGAAAAATATCATTAAGACATCATGAATTAGTTTCCAGGCTTCCCCAAAGAACAACTGCTGCGAAAACATGATTCAACATGATTCAACACTGTTAAAATTGGAGTCCGGAAACTTTTATACCATGGCTCCCGTTACATCACATGTTTGATGCTTAATATCCACCATGGCTCCCGTAAATCACCAACAAAAATCTTGGCGATAGGTCCCAGAAGATATCCCAATAGACACCCCTTGAGTGCCCATTTGTTGAATATGATCGATCCCTCTTAACCGATATAATTGATATAATTCACAGAAGATGTCCTAAACGGTGAATCAGATATCTCAAAATGGTGCGCAAAATATCCTGAGACTGGGAAAAAAAAACAACAACAACAAAATTGGACTGTGAAAATTAGATAATATCTACAATCTACCCATCAGAGAGTTCCCAACAGATTGCCCCTTAAATGGTAAATAAGATATACACATCAAGAAAAATCATAAGATATTCCCATCTTGCTGAAAAGAAAACATTCAAAACATATCCACGAGATATTATATCCATAAGATATACTCATAAAATATAAAGAGTCACCATTTTAGATAGCTAAATATCATCAGTTTATCATCGAACTAAATGGGCCATGGCTTCCAGTTCGCAAACTGTAAGATCACCAGAGGTTATAACCCCATTAGATTCCGTCCTCCATCCCCAATATATACAAATCCCATGAAATCAAAATTCCCAGTGATTCATCACCTACCTCATCTAATGTCATCTACCCCCATTTAAATCATTTATGCCAGTGCTTTCCCAGCTGGCCATTGTGCTTCGGCGCTCAGCGATTTGTTGATGTTGGCGCCCTCCTTCAGCGTCTGCCCCGTGGCCCCGGTGCCCTTCTGCCGCTCCGACCCCGCCAAGTCCACCAAGTTCAGCTTGGCAAAGACGTTCCTGCCACTGGTGCTTGCTATATATACGTATATATATATATCAAAGTTAGATAGTAACCATAGTTTTTTTTTTTAAAAAAAAAAGTTAGTTATAAAAGTAACTATACCATATGTAGTATTTATTATATATATATATACACACAACTACATATATATATATGATATGTATACTCTATATTTATGTATTTTGTTAGCAACCATAGTTTAAATGAGAAACTTAAGGAAAACAACAGCTATTGACATGGAATTTCTCGAAATATGTCCGATTTTGAGCAGACGCTTATGCTATAGAAAGGGATTCTATGATGTAATAGACAGGAACTTGCTGGACATCTATCTGAATCTAGGTGTTGTTTTCCATGTCTGGAATTCTGATACGATACCAATGTTCAATTGGGATATTGCTTCTTCAGAGTTAGGTGTTTACTGTTCTTTAAGACGAACAACTTGGGGTCTTCATGTCGTGAATTTGAAAGCTTCTTAGATCAACTACTACCCAAGTTGTGGGCACGTAACCTTTTTCAGAATGGGGGGGCTTTGTCAACTCAAAATACATGCCCTCTTGGAATGAGACCTGGCAAGGCGGTTCATCACCATAGTCATCCATATTCATCCAGATTCATCCATATTCTTCAAGTAGTAGACTCAGTAGACCGTAATCATTCTGGATGCCCCAATGGATCATTATCATTCATGAAACCAATGGTTCCAGGTTTTGGCCACTGATAAACCCCACTTTGAAGATCTTCCCATGGTTTTCCCCATGGTTTTCCCCATGGTTTTCGCGCTTTGCCTGGAAGTGTCGTCTTCGTCCTTTTGATGAATTTTGATGGTGAAAATGGAGTGCGACCTCGCGGACAAAACGTTGCTGGCATAAGAAATTCACAGCATCAGGAAACCATGATTGATTGATAACTACCATTAGAAACTCCCAAATATAGAATGTGCTACATCAATCTACATCAAATATAGACTACTCCCAAATAATTACTGATTTTCCCACCAATCTTGGGAGACCTACTCCCAACAGCTTGGACTTCGGCACTTGCTCAGTAGTGGATCGGTCCACACTGAAACTCATCTTCCGCCTAAAAAAAACACATACTGCCCAATCTATCTTCCGCCTAACCACAAAAAGCATTCCAATCTTCTTCTTCACAACATGTTCATGACATTTTCATGACAACCACTTTTCTTCTACCCCCATTTTTCCACTCTCTCGGCGCTGCGGCCCCGGCCTGGAACTGGTGGAGTTCATGAGCGTCGAGGACACGGCCCGGCTCTTGTTGCCATTCTCCAGCAGGGTCTCCACCTTGGTCACATCCTCCGCCACGATCTCCTTATGGCCACGGGTGGTGATTTCCGCAGCACTTGGCACAACTTGGCACATCTTGGCACCATGGGAGGGGATGAAGATCCAGCCAGGGGATCATATCATCATAGCGAAATGAGAGGTGCCCAATGCTCAGCTCAGGGACTGTCAAGTCTTTCACATAGATACCCATGACTGGATGCTCTTTGATTTGCAGACCACCTCCCAGCTTGCTGCGGTCTGATACAGGGTTCAACAGGTCAAAAATGATCTCATTGTAGATCTCGAAGAACCTCAGACAAAAACACCGGGTGGTTAAAAACATGCCATGCGTGTCAAGACATGGTGGGTTTCTGGGAAAAAATGTGGTAACCGAAAACCATATGGAAAACCATGGAAAACCATGGAGTTCCCAGACTTACCAAGTGATCAGGATGTCAGCTGTTGGGCCAATGAAACCAGGCAACGAACACATCACCAGAAACCTGCAGGTGGAGCTCGATTGTTTCTCAGCGATGTATGAGAAAAGCTCCTGCACAACCCAAGATCTGGGAAAGCCACGTCTGGGATCTGCTTGGTTGCAAGTAGAACTTTGCAAGATTCACATCCTCTTTCCATGTCATAAAAATCATCCGGATTTTCGATGAAATGAACCATTCAGCTATTGAATAGTACCCCCCAATAGCTGAAGAAACACCCAAATGGATTGCACCATGGAGCGCCTCATTCACTCGTGGAATGATGCCACGCAAATCTCCAGGAGCGCCGGTCATTGTGAAACTTTTGCCTCAGCAGCTGCTCCAAATGATGAGTCTATTCTAGTTTATTTATGTTTATTTCCTCACTCAAAATGCAAATGTTGGGAAACTATTTTGCAAATCAAAGGTTTTTTGACACTCTGTTTCACTCTCTCAAGTCATTCCCGCAGCGTCGTCGCATGGTGCCGTCGTGCTGTGCATCGAAGGCGCCACTGCCAGTCTGGCCATAAGCGAAAATTGTACCATTGTAGCCCTCGAAGGTCTTGTGGAGGGCCTCAAGGCAGTTCAGCAGCTATCTCTGCCAGTTATGCAACTGCTGAATGTATAAAACAAATGTCTGTCTGTCTGTCTGTCTGTCTGTCTGTCAAGCCGTGCGCCGCGCGGCGCGTGGGCGGCTCCAACTCCATACATATGCACACAACATGCAGACTAAAAACTTAAAGGCATTGTGCTACAAGGCAGCCTGACTGGCCCCAATCGATTCATTGGTTCAAAACCAGTTGGCGCCATTGCTTTTCATTCTGGACAAAAAATAACAGGTTGCGAGTACTACCTGTAAAGGAAAGTGCTAAAGAAAAAACTTCAGGTATCCACTCTTTACGAGGCCGGCCTACCCTTCTCAGATATCGAGATGTAGCAGCAGTGTATGTGCCAGGTTCAAACGAGACTTGTCTCAGAGGGTGGTTCGGGTGGCAACGCAGAATCTTTCCAAAAAGCAACAGCTGTTTTCGTTCAAGAAGTTTGGACATTGGAACGTGCGCACTTCGTTGCCAGACTTCAGCGTTGGATGTTCTGGACAAGAAAGATGGCTGTATTCCCAAAATAGAACGCAAACATCTGTTCTGGAAACCATCTAAGCGACGTTTTTCTTGCTTCGTCAAAACCAATGCGCACAGGCTATAGAGGAGCCTTGATTCAACCACAGTTTTGTAAATCTGCACTTTTTGGCGGTAGTGCAGCGATGAATGTTTGCAAACCTTCTGCAGTGCCGCAAAATCACTTTTGGCAATCCCAATGCGTCTTGATAGTTCGTTGCCGTGCTTACCATCAGCAGTCATCATCGTGCCCAAGTACATCATACATTGCTGTGTCTGGGTCACGCGCGGATTCGGAAACTGGAACCGCGGATTCGGAAACTAACGGGCACGCGGATTCGGAAACTAAGATTCGGAAACTAAAACCGCGGATTCGGAAACTAGGATTCGGAAACTAGGATTCGGAAACTAACAGACACGGATTCGGAAACTAAGATTCGGAAACAAAAAAGAGAAGATTCGGAAACTAAGGAGGATGGGAATTCGGAAACTGTGATTCGGAAACTAAAAGCGCAGATTCGGAAACTAAAACTGCGGATTCGGAAACTAAAACCGCAGATTCGGAAACGAAAACCGCAGATTCGGAAACTGACGCAGGCGCGGATTCGGGAACTGTGATTCGGAAACTAAAACCGCGGATTCGGAAACTAGGATTCGGAAACTAGAAGCGCGGATTCGGAAACTAAAAGCGCGGATTCGGAAACGAAGACCGCGGATTCGGAAACTAACACTAACGCAGATTCGGAAACTAAGATTTGGAAACTAAAGCACGCGCATTCGGAAACTAGAAGCATGGATGCGGAAACTAAAACCACGGATTCGGAAACTAAAACCGCAGATTCGGAAAAGAAAACCGCAGATTCGGAAACTAAGATTCGGAAACTAAAAGCGCGGATTCGGAAACTAACAGACACGCGGACTCGGAAACTAACGGACACGTGGATTCGGAAACTCAAGCACGCTGATTCAGAAACGAATTGAACAAAATGCGTCAAGCAAACATATCGTATGAGACATTTCAAACAGTGACCTGGACAACTTCAGGACCTGCAGTCTCCACATCATATCTTGGCACGTATATGGTCCAATTTCAAGCCACTTGGGCTCAGGGAATCGGGATTGCTTGCACAAAACCACTGCAGTCTATTCTCCGACAGCATTGTGCGAATGTGTTTGTTTCGCGGATCTTGAGACATGATCGGCCAAATGTTGCTTAAAATATCCCTAAACAATCTCAAACTATGTAATGACTCGCTATCATATTTTAGTCCGATCCGGCTGTATGCCTGAACTGCCGTCTCTGCTGAGCATCAGTCTCTAGAAGAAGTAAGTCTCTTAACCTTATCAAATTTGTACCCTATTAACCAAGAAAATTATGTTCACTGGCCTCAAGTGCTGTTGCAAAGTCCAAGTCAATTTGAAGTTCCATGGGGGTGGGAATTTTGATCTCACCTTATCCTTGTGGACAGTCCAAGTCAATTTGAAGTTCCATGGATGTGGGAATTTTGATATAAACTTATCCTTGTGGACAGTCCAAGTCAATTTGAAGTTCCACGGGGGTGGGAATTTTGATGTAAACTTATCCTTGTGGAAAGTCCAAGTCAATGTGAAGTTCCATGGGGGTGGGATTTTTGATATCATCTTATCCTTGTGGACAGTCCAAGTCAATGTGAAGTTCCACGGGGGTGGAAATTTTGATATCATCTTTTCCTTATGAACATTCCAAGTCAATGTGAAGTTCCATGGGGGTGGGAATTTTGATATCATCGGATCCTTGTGGACAGTCCAAATCAATGTGAAGTTCCACGGGGGTGGGATTTTTGATATCATCTTATCCTTGTGGACAGTCCAAGTCAATTTGAAGTTCCACGGGGGTGGGAATTTTGATATCATCTTATCCTTGTGGACATTCCAAATCCATGTGAAGTTCCATGGGGGTGGGATTTTTGATATCATCTGTCATCTGTGGACAGTCCAAATCTATGTGAAGTTCCATGGGGGTGGGAATTTTGATATCATCTTATCCTTGTGGACAGTCCAAGTCAATTTGAAGTTCCACGGGGGTGGGAATTTTGATGTAAACTTATCCTTGTGGACAGTCCAAGTCAATGTGAAGTTCCACGGGGGTGGGATTTTTGATATCATCTTATCCTTGTGGGCAGTCCAAGTCAATGTGAAGTTTGATTGGGGGTGGGAATTTAGATATTATCTTTTCCTTGTGGACATTCCAAATTAATTTGAAGTTCCATGAGAGTGGGAATTTTGATATCATTTGATCCTTGTGTAAAGTCCTTATAGTTTCTGAAATCGCGTTCGTTTCTGAATGGCGATAGTTTCTGAAGCGTAGTGTGTGAACCGTAGTTTCTGAATGGCGTTAGTTTCTGAAACGCGTTCTTAATCCTATTTTCTGCATCGCAATAGTTTCTGAATCGCGATAGTTTCTGAATCGCGATAGTTTCTGAATCGCCTTAGTTTCTAAATCGCGATATTTCTGAATCGCGTTAGTTTCTGAATCGTAGTTTCTGAATCGCGTTAGTTTCTGAATCGCGGTAGTTTCTGAATCGCGATAGTTTCTGAATCGCAGTTTCTGAAGCGCGTTAGTTTCTGAATCGCGATATTTCTGAATTGCGTTAGTTTCTGAATCGCAATAGTTTCTGAAGCGTAGTTTCTGAATCGCGGTAGTTTCTGAATCGCGATAGTTTCTGAATCGCGATAGTTTCTGAATTGCCCTAGTTTCTGAATCGCGATATTTCTGAATCGCGTTAGTTTCTGAATCGTAGTTTCTGAATCGCGTTAGTTTCTGAATCGCGGTAGTTTCTGAATCGCGATAGTTTCTGAATCGCGATAGTTTCTGAATCGAATTAGTTTCTGAATCGCAGTTTCTGAAGCGCGTTAGTTTCTGAATCGCGATAGTTTCTGAATCGCGTTACTTTCCGATAGTTTCTGAATCGAATTAGTTTCTGAATCGCAGTTTCTGAATCACGCTGGTTTCTGAATCGTAGTTTCTGAATCGCGATAGTTTCTGAATCGCCTTAGTTTCTAATCGCAATAGTTTCTGAATCGCGGTAGTTTCTGAATCGCGATAGTTTCTGAATCGCGGTAGTTTCTGAATCGCGATAGTTTCTGAATCGTAGTTTCTGAATCGCGTTGGTTTCCGAATCGCGATAGTTTCTGAATCGGTGGAAATAGTTTCTGAATCGTAGTTTCTGAATCGCAGTTTCTGAATCGCCGTTAGTTTCTGAATCGGTTTTGAACCGCTGTGTCTGTATGCACGTGTTGTCTGGTAAACGAATATCAGGATTGCAACGCGCACCTAGGAGTTGGAATTTGCCATAGTGAAGTTCCATGCCATACTTGCGACCAGCTGCCGCTACAGCCTGCATGTATTCAGTCAAGTACAAAGTGGATACTCCCATCAACAGCGTATCATCTGCATAGACAACGTCAGCTAAATCCCCCCGTTCAAAAGCCTCCCTGGCATCCCCCTGCAACATGCTGAGCGCATCGTGCATCAGGACGGACATGAGGATAACAAAAATAAGAGGACTTAAAGTGCAACCTTGGGAAATTCCAGACATTTGGCTATGTAGGGCAGAAGTCTCACCACAGTCTGTGACGAAGAAATGTCTGCTTCGCATCATCGCACCGATCATGTGAACAAAACCTTGTGGCAAACCAAAACGACGTAAAGCATCGAGTAAGCTATCAACATGTACACTGTCAAAGGCTTTCTTCCAATCCAAAGCAAGCAGTTTGATCTGTCCAAAGCGGGCTGCACAAGCATTTTCGACGTGTCGTCTAGCAATATAAATAGCATCTTCCGTACCGTAACGCGGTCTGAAACCAAACTGAGTTTTCCAAAGCGCACCCAAAACCCCACCACCAACGAGTCTGTTTTTGAGCATTGCTGCAAACATTTTGTAGGCAATGCATAAAATGCTGATGGGCCTGTAGCTGTCACACTCAGCAGGATCCCCCTTTTTGAAAATCAAAGCCATGGAAGCAGTAGACCAAGTTTGCGGCACTGTTTTCTGTTCCAAACATCGGTTGCAGAAGTCCAACACCCAAAGCATTTCGGCAGACCCAGAAGCCAAAAGAGCTTTGAACACTTCACTTGGGATATCACCTTGTTTGGTAGCTTTGTTTGGGGCAAGCCTTGCAACAGCAAATTCAAGCTCCTGCATGGTGAACGGGTCTAAGCTCACTGGCAATTCTGCACGAAGCGGTGGCTCAAGATCCGGGATCAAAGTTGCAGGACGAACCCTCCACTGTATATTTTCCAAATGTTCTGCAAAAGTTTCAGCGCGGAGATCAGAATCCACAAGTTCCCCACGACAATTCTTTAAACGACCTTCTTGCTTACGAGGACCCTTTTTCAAATACTTGACTGCATTCCAGCCCTGCGACGCAACCAAATTCTCCAACCAGTCTGCTTTGTCTTTGCGCACAGCGACTTGGACAGTCTTCCTAAGGCGTTTCTCCTCTGGCCAGTTCCCATTTTCCCTAGCTGAACGCTTGGCGGAAATCAACCTGAGAGTACCTGACAATCATAAAAATAAGATGAAATAAGTAATAACAACCAGAATGATATAATTCATATAACAAGAAGCATATAATCAATCCAAGGGGCTGGTTTTCCTACTGATTCGTAGATCTGGACTTGTGCCACTGAAAGGCCAAACACGATGTCCTTGGCTGTAAAGATCTGGGCGGGGTACCATTCCAGTAGCATTCAGCCAGGATGTCACCCCGCCAGGATGAATGTCAACGCAGGTTTAATGGATTCCCGTTGATGAATATGGGTGGGTTCTATTGATGCTGAAAAACAGATCACTATGGAAACTATTTTTCGGCCCCCCCAGATTGAAATGAAATATCCCATGATAATCAAATATCCAAACGGAACCCTGTTTTTATTTTCTGGGGGTATGAAAAATTGGCTACAATATCATACATTCCCCATTTCAGTTGAACCAGTTGAACCCGTTGAACCCCGAAATAGGGCTTCACCAGCGCAGTTGTTCCGTGGCTCAAAGGCGAATTTCGCCGGCTCGTCGTGGCCATGAGGATCGCTGAGCACCACTTGTCCCTGTTCGCCTTCTTCCCCGAAGGCCTAGTGAAACAACAAGATGATGCATCCATGATAGCTAAGCTGGTTGCAAAAGCAAGGTTACTGACGGTTTATGGTAGATGATGGTAGATGATGGTAGATGATGGTAGATGATGGTAGATGATGTATGATGTATCTATAGTCAATTGATGTCGATAGGGGTTTAGAAAACCAACTTACAACTGGGTGTCACCACCTTGCAAGGACCAAATTGCGCCGCTGTGGGGGGTTTTCATCTGAGTGATACCCATGTCTACGCTAATTAACAAAACCCTCTGTCATTCCATTACACCGATTGGTCAAGAGGGATTCCAATAAATTATGACAATCCCCAAGAAAGTAGAACATGTAGAACTCCTTATCATCAACCAACAGGGAATTAGCCACTGCTCATTTGAGGCCTCGGTCATCTCGACGATGCTCTCTTCTCCATTGTTGATCCTGGGAGATCCAGAAAACTCAGCACTTCAACGGGGATTTAATGAGGATGAAATGATGGGAACATGTTTGGAAAATATTTGGCATACTGGACTGGAGGTGTGAATTAATAAAGCCAGCATTGAATGGGGATATTTAATGGGATCTATGACCAACAATAGGAGCTTTGGGGACATAGGAGCTTTGGGGACGGGCCGGGATGGGTCTGAAAAATGTGGCAGCAATGAACCCAGCTCTACATTCAGCTGGGGAATATGGTGATTCAGCAGTGGATTCGGGGCCCAACTGGTACCAAGAGACTCTTTCTGACTGGGTGGGCGGCATCTGATGGCAACTCTCACACAATCGCTGCTCTTCTCGCTCATCCTCAAGGCATCAAGCCATGCCGATACCCGGATGCCCGGATGCCCGGATCGGTGCTATACTTTGCTAGCACCGATGGACTGTGAAAGCCTGATGGCAACCTGCGAATCATCCACATCATGAGTGACATTGAGTGACTATGCTATGAGGCAAGATGTTTATATAATGTGGTAAACCATGGTAAAGCCCAACCATGAACTGTCCCCAATAGAGGTCTATTGGGTATACCCCTGGCAATGGAATGATTTCAAACCCCTATTCATGGTCGAATGATGGGATGCATTACCAACTGTTCATTAAGCAAACAAGGGAATGACCTTGGCTGGCAGACTGGGCAGCTAGGCATTGTCTCAAATGGCTGGCCTTTCCTGCAAGAATTAGTCGTGGATGAGACGCCATACTACCACTTGGGTCTTTGGGTTTCTCACACAGCATGATGCAGTGAACCTAACCTGCTCACTTGAGAGCTTGAGAAAGCTTTGTCAGCAAGAAATATGTTGCAGGCATCAAATTGCGACCACTCCTACCCCACAGGTCTTGGCAATTTAAAGTCACTTAAGATATCCGCCGACCCCGGCAGACGCAAGGGGGAGCGCGCCAGGGAATAAGACATTTGACTCTTGTCGGACTACTACTACTACTACTGCTACTACTACTGCTACTGCTACTGCTACTGCTACTGCTACTACTAATACTACTACTACTACTACTACTACAACTACTACAACTACTACTACTACTACTACTACACTACTACGACGACGACGAGTTTCGAAAAAGCTGTCTGGCTGTTGGTTTCTCGCCTTGGAGGCTGGTTGATGGCACGGCAGGAGCAGCAGCAGCGCAGGAACAGCAAGAGCAGCAGCAGCAGCAGCAGCATCAGCGGAAGACAGCACCAGCAGCGGCAGCTGCAGCTGCAGCTGCCTCCGTCCTTCACTGCTATGGTGTTTCCCTGTCCGGGACCCACGTTTTTGCAGCAGCCAGCAGGCAGCCAGTACTATACAGTACTACATATAGTCTAAGATTTTCTAGGATGTATAGTCTAGGATTCTCTAGGATTCTCTAGGATTTCAGAAGACACGTTAGGCACTTTTTTGCTGCGATTTTGCGCCATTTTTGGCACGAAATTAGGTGGTGTTTTGCTGTTCCGAGTGAATTTCGAAAAAGATGTCTGGCTGTTGGTTTCTCGCCTTGGAGGCTGGTTGATGGCACGGCAGGAGCAGCAGCAGCGCAGGAACAGCAAGAGCAGCAGCAGCATCAGCGGACGACAGCACCAGCAGCGGCAGCTGCAGCTGCAGCTGCCTCCGTCCTTCACTGCTATGGTGTTTCCCTGTCCGGGACCCACGTTTTTGCAGCAGCCAGCAGGCAGCCAGCAGGCAGCCAGTACTATACAGTACTACATATAGTCTAAGATTTTCTAGGATGTATAGTCTAGGATTCTCTAGGATTCTCTAGGATTTCAGAAGAAACGTTAGGCACTTTTTTGCTGCGATTTTGCGCCATTTTTGGCACGAAATTAGGTGGTGTTTTGCTGTTTCGAGTGAGTTTCGAAAAAGATGTCTGGCTGTTGGTTTCTCGCCTTGGAGGCTGGTTGATGGCACGGCAGGAGCAGCAGCAGCGCAGGAACAGCAAGAGCAGCAGCAGCAGCCAGGAGCAGCAGCAGCGCAGGAACAGCAAGAGCAGCAGCAGCAGCAGCAGCATCAGCGGACGACAGCACCAGCAGCGGCAGCTGCAGCTGCAGCTGCCTCCGTCCTTCACTACTATGGTGTTTCCCTGTCCGGGACCCACGTTTTTGTAGCAGCCAGCAGGCAGCCAGTACTATACAGTACTCTAAGCTTTTCTGGGACATATAGTCTGGGATTCCCTGGGATTCTCTAGGATTTCAGAAGACACGTTAGGCACTTTTTTGTTGCGATTTTGCGCCATTTTTGGCACGAAATTAGGTGGTGTTTTGCTGTTTCGAGTGAGTTTCGAAAAAGATGTCTGGCTGTTGGTTTCTCGCCTTGGAGGCTGGTTGATGGCACGGCAGGAGCAGCAGCAGCGCAGGAACAGCAAGAGCAGCAGCAGCAGCAGCAGCAGCGGAAGACAGCACCAGCAGCGTGCAGCTGCAGCTGCAGCTGTTTTCGTCCTTCACTGCTATGGTGTTTCCCTGTCCGGGACCCACGTTTTTGCAGCAGCCAGCAGGCAGCCAGTACTATACAGTACTATATATAGTCTAAGATTTTCTAGGATGTATAGTCTAGGATTCTCTAGGGTTCTCTAGGATTTCAGAAGACACGTTAGGCACTTTTTTGCTGCGATTTTGCGCCATTTTTGGCACGAAATTAGGTGGTGTTTTGCTGTTTCGAGTGAGTTTCGAAAAAGATGTCTGGCTGTTGGTTTCTCGCCTTGGAGGCTGGTTGATGGCACGGCAGGAGCAGCAGCAGCGCAGGAACAGCAAGAGCAGCAGCAGCAGCAGCAGCGGACGACAGCACCAGCTGCAGCTGTCTCCGTCCTTCACTGCTATGGTGTTTCCCTGTCCGGGACCCACGTTTTTGCAGCAGCCAGCAGGCAGCCAGTACTATACAGTACTATATATAATCTAAGATTTTCTAGGATGTATAGTCTAGGATTCTCTAGGATTCTCTAGGATTTCAGAAGACACGTTAGGCACTTTTTTGCTGCGATTTTGCGCCATTTTTGGCACGAAATTAGGTGGTGTTTTGCTGTTTCGAGTGAGTTTCGAAAAAGATGTCTGGCTGTTGGTTTCTCGCCTTGGAGGCTGGTTGATGGCACGGCAGGAGCAGCAGCAGCCAGGCAGCAGCGCAGGAACAGCAAGAGCAGCAGCAGCAGCAGCATCAGCGGACGACAGCACCAGCAGCGGCAGCTGCAGCTGCAGCTGCCTCCGTCCTTCACTGCTATGGTGTTTCCCTGTCCGGGACCCACGTTTTTGCAGCAGCCAGCAGGCAGCCAGTACTATACAGTACTATATATCCGCCGACCCCGGCAGACGCGAGGGGGAGCGCGCCAGGGAATAATACTTTTGACTCTTGTTTCGGACTACTACCGCAGCCGGCGCAGCAGCAGCAACAGCAGGAGAAGTAAAGCCGGCCTCCGGGGAGCTTGTTATTGCGAATGATTTCGCTCACAAGTAGCAGTAGCAGAGCAGCCAGCTGTTGGCAGGTGCTTTTGGTAGCAGCAGGCAGCGGCAAAGTTTCAATTTTTGGGGGGTTCCTTTGCTATGTTTTGGGGACGAAATTAGGTGTTGTTTTGCTGTTTCGGATGTTTCGAAAAGGGTGTCTGGCTGTTTGTTTCTTGCTTTGGAGGCTGTTTGATTGCAGCAGCACCACAGCAGCACCACAGCAGCACCACAGCAGCAGCAGCAGCCACCAGCAGCTGCACCAGCAGCAGGCAGGAGCAGGGTGCAGCAGGCAGCAGCAGGCAGGCAGCCGCAGCCTTCAGTGGCATGGTGTTTCGGTGTGGCGAGGGGTACGTTTTGGAAGCCTGCAGCAGCAGTTGCTTTGTTTTTAGCCAGATCCAGAAGGGACGTCAACATTGGATGGATTGGATTGGATTCGATTTCTAGAAAGATTCTAGCAGGATAGCAGGAGAAGGGATAGCAGGATTAGAGAGGATTTCTAGTACGATTTCAGAAGGGACGTTCCGGCCCCCAGGGAACTTGTTCTTGCGATTGATTTGGAGGTCGTTCCGTCCTTCAGGGCCATGGTGTTTCGGTGTGGCGAGGGGTACGTTTTGGAAGCCTGCAGCAGCAGTCGCTTTGTTGTTAACCAGATCCAGAAGGGACGTCAACATTGGATGGATTGGATTGGATTCGATTTCTAGAAGGATTCTAGCAGGATAGCAGGAGAAGGGATAGCAGGATTAGAGAGGATTTCTAGTACGATTTCAGAAGGGACGTTCCGGCTTGCAGGGAACTTGTTCTTGCGATTGATTTGGAGGTCGTTCCGTCCTTCAGGGCCATGGTGTTTCGGTGTGGCGAGGGGTACATTTTGGAAGCCTGCAGCAGCAGTTGCTTTGTTTTTAACAAGATCCAGAAGGGACGTCAACATTGGATGGATTGGATTGGATTCGATTTCTAGCAGGATTCTAGCAGGATAGCAGGATAAGGGATAGCAGGATTAGAAAGGATTTCTAGTACGATTTCACAAGGGACGTTCCGGCCCCCAGGGAACTTGTTCTTGCGATTGATTTGGAGATCGTTCCGTCCTTCAGGGCCATGGTGTTTCGGTGTGGCGAGGGGTACGTTTTGGAAGCCTGCAGCAGCAGTTGCTTTGTTGTTAACAAGATCCAGAAGGGACGTCAACATTGGATGGATTGGATTGGATTCGATTTCTAGCAGGATTATAGCAGGATAGCAGGAGAAGGGATAGCAGGATTAAAGAGGATTTCTAGTACGATTTCAGAAGGGACGTTCTGGCCCCCAGGGAACTTGTTCTTGCGATTGATTTGGAGGTCGTTCCGTCCTTCAGGGCCATGGTGTTTCGGTGTGGCGAGGGGTACATTTTGGAAGCCTGCAGCAGCAGTTGCTTTGTTTTTAACCAGATCCAGAAGGGACGTCAACATTGGATGGATTGGATTGGATTCGATTTCTAGAAGGATTCTAGCAGGATAGCAGGAGAAGGGATAGCAGGATTAGAGAGGATTTCTAGTACGATTTCAGAAGGGACGTTCCGGCCCCCAGGGAACTTGTTCTTGCGATTGATTTGGAGGTCGTTCCGTCCTTCAGGGCCATGGTGTTTCGGTGTGGCGAGGGGTACATTTTGGAAGCCTGCAGCATAGCAGGATAAGAGATAGCAGGGTTAGAGAGGATTTCTAGTACGATTTCAGAAGGGACGTTCCGGCCTCCAGGGAACTTGTTCTTGTGATTGATTTTGCGTCATTTTTGGAACGAAATTAGGTGGTGTTTCGCCGTTTCGGCTGTGTTTCGAAAAAGGAGGATAGCAGGATAAGAGAGGATTCTAGCACGATAGCAGGATAAGAGAAGATTTCTAATACGATTTCA